GAGCGGCGGGGCCGGGCGGGGCGGGGCGGCCGAGCAGCGGGGCGCACTTTGCGCAGCCCCCAACGCCCCCACCCCCTCCCCTGGAGAAGGACCGCCGCTGCGCGCGTGCACTTCTTACAAAGCGCCGCCGCCCTCCGCCGCCCGGCTGCCGACGGTAAAAGGAGCTCGCCAAAAAGCAAAAAGGAGCAGACATTTCCATTTTTATGCGGGAAACGCTGGGAAACGTCCGCCGGCTGCCATACGGACCACGGACTCGGACGCCGCTTGTCCAGATTGCGCGCATTGGGCAACAATGTGCAGAGCGCTCGGCCCGGCCCAGCCCGGCCCTGCCCTGCCGGCGCCGCGGACTGCAGGACGGGAAGGGCCGGGAAGGGCGGCGAGGGAGGCGGAGAGGACGAAGGACTGCGCGCATTTGGGTCATGAGGAGTTTGCCCACGGAGCATTCCACTCAGCCAGCTGACCTTCTTTGCGAGGGAAGAGGAAGAGGAAGGGCCGGCGAGGCGAGGCGAAGGACCTCGCCATGGAAATATTCCCGCATTTGTCAATGTGCGCTGTGTGCGCTGTGTGCGCTGTGTGCGCTCGCTGGGCGCTCGCTGGGTGCTCGCTGGGCGCGGCCCTTCTGATTATTGCTTTTCTTATTGTCTCACGATGACTCTCCATTCCATCCATCGTGACTCCGGCGCCCGCAGCGCGCAGCGCGCAGGGCCCCGCCTCGGCGCGTCGTGGCACCCAGTCGCCGCCAGTGATTCGGCCATTCATTTCTTGAATGAGCGCGGCGTGGACTGGCGGGGCGGGGCGGGGCGGGGGGGTGGGGCGGGGTGGGGCGGGGTGGGGCGGGGTGGGGCGGGGTGGGGCGGGGTGGGGCGGGGTGGGGCGGGGGGGCGTGGGCGGGGCGGGGCGGCGGGGCGCGGCCCCCTGCAGTGCGAGGACCACGGAGGGGCACCACACGGCTGCACTTTGTCACGATGCCAATTCGTGCACTCATAAAGCCTCAGCAGCCCAGCCCCGGTACTGTGAGATACCGACGGGACCCGCGAGCAGGGAGGGCAGGTCTGGTTAGGTTAGGTGCCGCAACTTGGCCGCGCCGGAAACCGGAAGGAAGCGCAGCTGTAATGAGACTGGGTCAGGCAGGCAGGCAGGCAGGCAGGCAGGCGCGGCCTCAAACCCGCATGGCGGCGAGGCGGCGAGGCGCGGTAAACCGTGATGTGATACTGATAACGTTAGGTGACGAACGCGGACCGGGGCGGGGCCCGATTCAGAACGGTGCTTTCATCGCTCTGTCTCTCTCGCACTCGTAGGGCGTCCCGTTGGGGTGCGAGGGAGACAGATCGACGACAGGACTGTGCGGACGGCGAAATCGGAATGATTGGAGGGGGCCAGCTCCGGAGCCTGCAGCCCCCGGCAGCCCCCCGCTCCAGGCCAAGCCAGGCCAGGTCCAGCGGGGTGGAGTAACGTGAGACGCAGACTCCAGTAACACACAACACCGCGGCGGGCGTATCCCGTTCCAGGGCGGCGGCCGGCGGGGCGGCCGGCGGGACGGCAGGACGGCGGCGGCAAGTCGAGACAGGGCTCGCGCCGCTCGCGCCGGCCGCGCCAGCCGAGGCAGGCCCTGCCTGCACGGTCAAAACGGTTCCTGGTTTTCCCAGGAACCCCCTGGAAATCACCTATGTCTTCGCCATAGGGCTCCTGGGAAAACCAGGTACCGTTTTTACCGTGTGGCCCTGCCCGCTCGCTGACTATACCCTTCTAACTTCAACGGCTTAGAAATTACTGGGGGAAAAATTCTCCGGTTCGTTCCAGCATGGCGCACACCCTGCGTTTCTCCGACACATCCAGGACTCCGCTCTCCAGCGGAGCGACTCCTGGAGAAGTGAGGCGCCCAGCCGCGGCGATGAATGCCTCTTGTTTAGTTCGGGGTCGAAGCCCCAGTCACTCCCGCTCTGCGTACACCACCTCACCTTTTGCCCATGCAAATTTAATTAAAAAATCCCCCCCTCCCCTTTGGGAAAAGAAGAACCTGAGATGTGAATAAGGCTAAGGACCTCCACCCTCTTTCCTAACTCCGCGCGAGTTTTCTCGTTTAATTGCGCGTAAAAAAAAGGGGGAGAGCATGACTCCCGCCGCCCGCGGGAGGATTCGCAGGTTCGCCACTCCTCTGCCCCACTTTTCCCCCTTGCTTACATCCCCCTACAGACTTCGTTTGAAAACAAACTGGCGGTACAGTAATGTTGTTTGCGTCGTTTGTATACCCCAGCCTATTCAGACTGCGTGCCGGTCTGTCTGTCTGCCTGCCTTTCTGTCTGCCTCAGGTAACTCGACTTGCACGCCCCACCAGGTGGGATTGTTTCAGATCGCTGTGAGCGGGGCGCGGAGCAAGGCCGGAATCGAGGAACTGTGTAACGAGTTTGCATTGTGGTGCCTTTCACGCCCTCCCCCTCTCCCCCATTCTGCCCCAAGGCCTCCTCGACACGACCAACACGACACACGGGACAGGTAAGCCCTTCGGCCCGTCGCCAACTGTTCGCCAAGTTGCGGGTTAATGGGGCAGTGGCCCTCGAGTGCCGCCCCGCCCCGCCCAGCCCCGGGCCCTGTGCGGTGCCTCCACTGCGACACGGCCGACTAGCGTGGCTTGACGAACAGATGCCGGAAACGGCACTCGGAACAACTCAATTCGCGACACCACCGCGAAAAACAGAAACTCAACACCCCTTACCCCTTGGCGCTAAGCGAGCCGCCTGAAAGGTAGGCAGAAAGACACACTTTGGACGACCCTGCATCCGCCAACGGAGCCAGCCGCCAGCCACAGTCGTGTGTTTGGACGAATGTGTACTGACCGGGGCACCCAGGCCCCAGGGCCCTCGCAGGCGGGGGAAGGAGCGGCGTGCGTCCTTTCCCCCTTCCACGCCCGCCCCGCCCCGCCATTGCCCGCTCTAGCCGGAGGCGATAAAGGCTCGGCACGGACTGTTTGGGTGTCGCTTTCGTTTGGCACACTCTCCCGGCGTGGCGCCCAGTGCCGCCCAGTGCCGCCCTGCCACTGCCAAGCCCCCCGGCGTGCCCCCTCCCCCTCCCCCCTGGGACTGTCTCTTCCGAAACGCCTCTCGAGTACTGCTACGTAATCCCCACCAGTCTCGCGGCACCTGGACACTCGCACTCACGCGCACGTCGCACACTCACACTCTCACAGACAGAGACATCATAACAGGCCGCCGGTTCGAATCCCGGCAAAGTGGCCCCAAAGACTTTCCAAAGCGACGGTTTGTTTTTTCCGCAAGGCTCTATTATAGGCCTCCAGTGACCCATACTTCGGGCGCCAGACTCCGAGCAGAGCCTAGGCGCCCGGCCCGGAGTCGGGTCAGCGTGGCGCGCTTCCAAGCGTCCGAGCCAGTCCTGCAAACTGATTCCGAGAGTCTCTGTCTCTCTCGCACTCAGGGGCGTCCCGCATAGGTGCGAGAGAGACGAAGCGACGAAAACGAAAGGCGTTTCCAGGGACATGTCGGCAGCGCTCCGCTTCCTTTTATGGGTCTGCACTGTAAAAATTCGTTGTTGCTTTATGACAAAACAAAGGATGACTGTCAGCCACACTTTTCGCAGTGTGGGCGTAACGCTGCGCCAAAAACGCACTCGGCCCCGCCATTTCGCAGTTCGGCAAAAGGGGAGAGGGGAAGCAAGAAAAGAAACCGCTTGTTGCAAACTCTAAACGAATTGTGGCGGCGCGTGCCGTCGTGTCCGATCTCGTTTAAGATATTGGACGTCTGGCGAGTCGAGTGGCGTGGCGTGGCGTGGCCTGCCAAGGCGGCCGGTCCTGAGTCCTGGCCTCAAAGTCGTTGTTATTATTGTGCGGCTGCAGGCTTTGCTTGCCTGGCTTGCCTTTGGCCTGACTGGACCTCGGGCTGGACCTCGGGCTGGACCGCCACCGGACCGGCCCTCTTCGCGTGTTGGCAAAAACTAAAAACTAAAAGCAAAAGCAAGAGCGACGCCGGAAAAGGAGGTTGGCGTGGCTGCCGTCCGGGGATTGCTCCAAGAGCAAGCGAGGTCCTGGCTGTCTCATCGTCTCATCGTCGGTAGTATGTCGAGGGCCACATTTCCGAAATGCCTACCAACAATGCCATGCCGACGGGCGGCAACAGTCGGCAGGAACTCCCCGGCAGGGCGGTCGCAAGCGTCACTGTTTTGACTTGCCCGCCGTGGACAGCGCGACGGGCCGCGGAAACGAATCCGACCGATAGGCAGGGAAGGCAAAGAGCCTCGGCCGGCCTAGGCGCCTAGGCGAGCGTAAAGCCTGCGCAGCCTGCGCCTTCGCAATCACCACCGACAGAGATAGCCGGGCGGGCACTGCTTTCGTCGTTGTCTCTCTCGCTCGCTTTCGGGACACCCCATGAGTGCATGAAAGACAGAGCGATGAGAGCGGTGCTCGGCACCAACCTGCAGGCCGCGCGGTGCGGGCCTGTCCCGTCCCGGCCCGTCCGAAACTCCAGAACGGGCGGCAACGCGGCGCCGTGTCCCACATGCCGAATCGTCTTGCTTGTTTCTCCAAGACGAGGACGAGGACGAGGCCGGAAGGTGGACATGAAGCACCTCGTCGACGGCCCGCGCCCCGCCCGCGCCCCGCCCGCGCCCCGCCCGTCGCAGTTTTCTCGCTCATTGACCCCACCAGGTGTCGCTCCGTCCCTTCGGGCCCTGTTCGGGCCCATCGCGCTGCCCCAACGCCCCACAGCCCCAAGGCGCAGGGCAGCAGGACCCGCGCGATTCATTACACTTACATCAGTTGCAAATGGACCGGACTGGGGCTCGGGGCTCTGGGGTGGACGGTGGACGAGCGGCACGGCGTTTGGTACACTCAGGGAGATAAAAAAAAGTCCAAATGATGTAAATATGACCGCAAAATGAATGATTTTTGTGAAAATTTAATCCGTTTTGTATCAAGATGACATTATTTGAAGTCGCTCCTGATCGTGTGCTGTTGGATGCCGCTATGCTCGGCTTATGCTGCTGCTACTCACCTCAGGTGACGGGGTAAAGATGCCTTCCAGCTCCGCGCTCCGTCGCGGTGGCCCGGTGGGGCTTCCCCGGTGAGACACGCCCTCACTCAGACCGGCGTCGCGACACCCCTTCAGCGCACCTCATCCACCGCACGCTGCACGCTGTACGCACAGGGCACGGCAGGCTCGAGACGATGAAGCAAGTGAACAAGTGCGCGGCGTGCGGCTCTGCTCCGGCCACGGCGCCGGCCACAGTGTGGTGGGGGTGGCGCTAGGTGGCGCCCACCGCCCCTGGCCGCCCTAGCCTCCCCGGCCTCCGAGCTCCAAGCCGGCTGTTGCTGCAGGGCCTGCAGGGCTGGGGGAGCGTGAGAGCGCGCGTAGCGTCCGCGTCCCCGTGCGTCGTGAGGCAGGCTGGCAGGCAGGCTGGCTGGCTTCGCAGATCTAACCCCCCCGGCGCCTCGACGCCGACTGGCCGGCCGGCTGCGGTGCGGCGGCGCGCCTCGCGGTGGAGCCCCCCGATGCCTCGATGCCGACGTGACGCGGAGCAGTGCGTGGTCGCAGAGAGAGACAGAGAGAGAAAGCGCCGCGCCCTGCAGGCGGAGCAGGCGGAGCGACCGCTAAGAACGGCAGTGGTTCGCGCCATTCTCTGCAGTGTGATTCCGAACATGCCTCGTCGCTCCGTCTCTCTCGCACTCCTACGCAACACGTGCCCGTGGGGAGTCCCTGAGTGGTCTTCAAGGCAGAAACAGAATAATCGTGGCTTCACCGCCGTCAAGCTCAAAGAGCTCCAAGGTTTCAACGCCTGCGAGGTAGGCCACTGGCCCGGCCCTCAACACACCGCTGCAGAGACGGTGGCCTACCTTGCCTCTGAAGCGAACCACTCGGATCATCTCCATCGGCCAGCAGGAGTTGCTTCAGTTGACATTCGTGCAATTTCAGGCATTGTCTCGCTCTCACTCAAAAGTTCCGAGCGACCGGCTGCAGACCGCTGCCGGCCTATTGGCGTTTTTTCAGGAGCCCTGTGACCAACGAAATGGAGCACGTCTTCAAAAGGCTATTTAAGAATTTATTTACTTTTTCTTTAACTATGATATGATCACATCATTGACTTTTGGTTCTATGTTTTTAACAATTTTACTGAAATAGAGGGGGCCACAATTGTTTGGTAGAAAAGGAACAACTAGATGACCATATTTTCCACTTGTAGTTATCTTCATAAAAGGCAACAGAGGCTCGAAGCCTTTGGACAAGTCCCTGGAATAAAAGTTACAATTAGGCGTTCTGTCTTAAAAATATTAAAACAGAAATTAATAATTAAGTACGGAATGACACTAACTTAATGGTAAAAGACATGCCAGAGCTAGTCCATAGATCCTCCAAGGCCTTCTGCACAACACCATCATTTTGAATGGGGGACATGGATTCAGTGACATAAACAACAGTACCACCTTCCTTTACCAGTTCAAGTGCTTTCCTGGAAAGTTAACAAGATTGATATTTCAAAGATCTTAAATTGTGATGTAGGAAATACCAAGAACATTACAAAGTTTACCTAAGGAATGCAGTTTGAACTTCTGGAATTTTGATCCTTTGCTTTACTCTTGCAGGATTAAACAAATTCTCTTCTTCTGAAGTAACTGCTTGCCTGTCTCTTGTGTTTGGCACTGACACAATTATCTGGAAAACAGAGGCTTAAAAACAACAATTTACCTTCATTTTTTTAATTGCTGAAAAAGGATTGTTACCTTGTTAAATTTCTCTTTCTCTTCCATTTCAAGTGGATGACAATCGGAAACGTGTATATTAGATTCCATTTCACCAGCATCATAGAAATAAGACTTCATAGTTCGCAGAAAATATTTAGCTCGGCCAGTATTGTCACAATTCATAATAAACAACCCTTCAAGAGAGAGGTTTTGCATAAAATATTTGCAAATAGCTGGAAATAATTTGGGTTTGACATTGCCACTTACCTGGTACTAAAGTCTGAGAGATAATGATGGGGATATCGAGGTTGAGCGATGTTAGGTCTAGCACCACATCTCCCTTCTTCACATCAAGGGCTAAAACAGGAGCAAGCGATCCCAGGCTAATAATGTGGTAATCTGGTAAAAAAAAATATTGTCAAAACATTTAAACAAAAATTATTAGCATTTTAAAAAAATTCATTATTGACACTATTACAAACCAAATACATCTGTTGATCCTTTCTGGGACAGCTGAAAAGCATCACAATTTCCCCTCTCATAAGCAAAAATATCAAGAAGATGAGGAAAATGAATATCATCTTCAGGTTCTATTTCAATGGGAGCTTCAGGGCTTTCTTTGTAATAGCTGTAGTGAGCTGACTCTGGAATATAATCATCCATGCCTTTCAATTTTGTTGCCGGCACAAAATCGTAGAGGGAAGCACTCATCTCAGAGGCTAAGGGCCCTGGTGCAATAAGACGACTTTTATCATAGTCAGCTGTTTTCAAAGTTTCTGACAAGGGTAAATCTTTTGTAGGGTCTTCAGACACTTTGAAACTGCAAGAATGCGATAAAACAAATATCATCACAAAATACTATCAGGATAGATTTGTGTCCATCCTAAAATGAAAAAGCAAAAAAGACAACTGTAATGAAAATTTAACCAAACATACTTATCATCATCGTCACTGGCTTTTTCCTCAAATTGTTTGCTTGCAGAATTTCTAGATATTTCACTACTTATTGAATGTAGAGGCTCTGGATAAATTTGATCTGAATCTGCTCTTTGCTGCCTCAATAGCATTTCTTCTATACTGCCCTCCACTTGATACACATCTTGAGAACCCATCAAAACTTCATCTGGAAACTTGTCTTTCACAATTTTCTGTTGTTCCTCAAATATTTCACGAATATTGTACGCTCCTTCATTCTGTAATGTTAATTATAATGGAGGACAGGATGAGAAGCGACCAGCACCAAAAGTTATGCGAAACATCAAAATAGAATTAGAATACTTGACCTACTTGCAAATCCTTTAATATTCTTTCTTTGTCACTAAAATTATTAACAACAACCCCTCTCTTCGGTGCAGAAAGCAATGCCACCCGTATAGATGGCCACTGTTCCTGAAAGAGACTACCATAAAAATCGTCAAAATGTGACAGAGCTTTCGTGGTGGACCTGTTTCTCTCCCTTTCTAGTTCCTGAAATAGGCCACACAAAAATAATTATAAGTAACGTTTTTAGAAGAAAACACGGGACTTAGAGTATGAGTATGAGGCGCAGGACCGGTGTGGAAACTACCTTATATGCATTGCTGGCCCATCGTTTTGAATTGTAGTAACAGAAATGTGAGCCCACCCTCTTCGTGCATGACACGAACTTATGACACAGCATTGTCATCCGAATTAAATGCATTTCTGCGAACATAAATATCAACTAAATTGTTGTTGTGTATGTCGTCTGCGTTGCGTTCATGTAAGTCGCCATTTTGTTTCAGCTTGACCAACTTGTAAGATAAATTAATTCTTGTCAAAATGAATTAAACAGTTCCAAACTAAGTTAAAAGAAACGGTTGAACATTGCCGATCAAAATTAAAATTAAAGAAATTCTTAGTTGCAGTTTATCCTTGTCAAATAACTTTCTTGCCACTTTGTAAACTCATGCTTCAGGTTGTGGCAAAAGTGCTGTGGAGGTAGTGATTTTGTAGCAGGCACGCATGCCGTCTGCTTGTTTGTCGTGGTTGTTAAGTTGTGCCCATCATTTTGGATTTTGGCTGCTGAAAAGGTTTGTCTTTGTTGAAAGTGATCTGTTTGGTTGGACATTTGCAGTAGTTGTCCAATCCAAAAGCTTCTACCCTAAGCTTATTTTTGTATTGATTTCGCTATGATTTTTGGATTATTGTGTGCTGGTAATATTCTGACAACCACAGTATCCCCATGATCCCTATTGCTCAATACTTTCAAGAAAGATGTATCAAATTTAAATTACCGCTTGAAATCGGATCGTGAAAACAGAAAATTTTCACATTGTGATTATTTTACTGTGCCCATTTGTTGAGTTAAAATTCAAGTTATTCGTTTAGCATTTATGATGTCTTGCTTTTAACATTTACTTATTCTACTTTGGCAGAGATAATTTACAAATGGAAAGTTCAGAAGAATCTATCTACCCTTGTCATAGCCAGTAGGTTCGTACTTATGTGTTTGATTAAAATTTCTATCAACTGTATTGCCTATTTCATTCCAATAGTGTTTTAACTTTTCTTGTTTCTTGCGATCACATTGCAGAGCATATGGTCTCCAGTGTATTTTGCTACCCACTACTCCATTATGAGAGTGAATTCCTATGACTTACTGAACTATAGCGTTTCAGAGTATCTTGGGTACAGTATGTCATCTAGCATCAGATCATCTCATTCTTGTTCCAAATGGATTACAAAAGCAACAGCTTCTCTCAACCCAGCTCGGATTTGAATCTGGAAACAGTTAGAGCATTGCACCAGACAGTTGTAGCGTTGCGGGCTGCTTTGGAGCAGTCTCGCTCTGAATTGTTTGAACTTAGAGTAAAAGTCCATTCAAGCTCCAATAATAAAGTGTATGCAGACACTATTGAGAAACTTGCATTGGAAAACCATATTTTGAGAGAACGAGTTTTGAGCTCAAACACAGATAAGACAATGGAAGATTTAAGCCAACCAAATGTTCCACATCTTGAGTCTACCGTAGAACAGCCATCAACCTCCCCTGATGCAGAAAATGACAAGAAAGTTGCATCCCCTCCCTCAGAATCGTCAAAGGAATCTGAAGAAGTAGCACCCTTGCATACACCATCAGATATCGTTCAACATGAGGATGCAGATCAAGATAAAATTGTTAATGATGACTTGACTGCTGCAGTTAGCCCACCCGTCATTGAAGAACTTGCCATGGAAGAAAAGGCCATAGATGAAGGATCCAATCTGTCTAATGAAATAAAACTTGAAGATGATGAAGTATCATTCCATAATGATGAGAACATCTCTGAACCATTGAATAAAACCAAACCAAACCAAGAATCTGATAATGAATCTGAGGAGCTAGATGATATTGAGCTTATATTTACCACAGAGGAAACTAAGGAATTAGGTGTAATGCAGGAGGATTTAGTATCAATAAGTGACACAGAAAACTGGGCCGCTTCAAATGGACAGACTCCTCTTCCCCTTACTGTTGAGAAAAGCACCCAATTCGACGAAGAAAACACTGGTCTACGGATGCCATGGACACACTCAGTAGTTGTCGAGACTGATATATCCAAATGTGGGATAATTGATGAGAATGAGGCTCCAACTACCAACAACATGAGGCGCAACACATTGCCAAGCCCAATGCCTTATAGACCAATAATTCACAAGGAACTGTTGTCAGCTTCCAAAAGTCCATCACACACTGTGAAATTTTCTGCATCCCGTAGTCCTCGGTCTAATATGTCTTCAGAATCAAAACGACTTCCTATGCGTCCTATCCTTATAGAACCAAATCGTTCTATTAAATGTGAATCTGCAGCTCAGACAGACATCACTGCTTTACCTTCTCATTGGAAGTCGGAGAGCTATTTAGCTCATAAGGTATGTGCAGTTGATGTTAGTAGTTTTTATTTGTTCCTTAGTAGTTCTGAACACAATTTAATAATATCCGCTTTGCTTTCAAGGTTTCTCACCAGTTCACAACATTACCATCAAAATTTACACTACCTACCAGGCAGTCGATGCAAAGTCGTCCTTCTCTGAAAATATGTGATCGAAATCAAGATGCTCGGAGAATCCTCCTCTCTGACATAAATTTTACCAGTATGGTGCCTGAGCTATCCCGCAGTGCTGACCACCTGGCTCTGGAATCTGGTGTTGTTGGTATTGGTGACTCAGGCAATATTGTGCCTACAGTAGCTGGGCTTTACCGCAACTTCCCAAGGGCTTTTTCTTACATGAAAAACCCAGACCTCATGGGGCCCTGCTTAGTATCTCCAGGTTATCAACATGCTCGAGAATATGGTCGTTTTCAATGGTCTCCATGTGACTGTGTTACCCCAGGCAAATGGGAGCACCCAACTCGGTATCAGGTACAATTACTTAAAGTTAAATGCAAGGCTAGCTAGAAAGTGAGATTGTAGAGTGTCTTCCTTTGTAGTTCACTCTGCTAAGTTTTTAGAACCTCACCTTATTTAATCTGATTACAGAGCTCTCATTCATCAGCAACCTCTCCTCAACCTCATGAAATAGATGTCAAACTTCGTCCTGATTTGAAACCTTCAACCTCATCACTTGATGTGTGCCGTCATGGGCATCTAATCCAGAGACCTATAACTTCTTCCTCTTGGCAGTCTGAACCAGCTTCTCCAACTCATTGCTTTCTTCACAGCAGAACCTGTAGTGTTCCTTTACCTACCTCACATGCACAATCTCGTTCCAAACTTGCTGGACTAGCTCTTTCAAGTGCTTTTCGATATTCCCCATCAAGCAGTTTTGGTTCTAATGTAAATCGATCACGCAGCAAGGTCTCATTTCAAGGTAAAGCCTAGGACAACCTTTTTTAAAATTATTGTTATGAATTGACTTAATTATTATGATGCATATCTGCATACTATTGCTAATTTTATGTAGTATCCTGACTCAATAGTACAACTAGCATTACTTACTGTCCTTTTGTGCATCCTTGCTTTTCTCTCTTTCTGTTATAAAGAAAATAGCCTTCGCAGACAAGGAAGAGGCGGTCAATCCCTACCCGATTTACGTATTGCTGAAGCACATGGCGATAGTGGTGATTCCACTGACTCTCTCATAGATGAAGCTGAAGATTACGTTCGGAGATCCATTGATTCAATTGTCACAGTAACAGATTCATCACGAATGAACAGACGTCGCATGGCACGCAGGCATTCTGATCCAGATCCCCTCAGAGGTTTGTGGAGCCCTAATTGCTCTTGTGGTCACCAAGTGCCCCTCCATATATCATGTGTAATCACTCATTTATTCCATGCTAATTTTTCTGCTGATTTTCAGAAATGGTTGCAACAAAGTCTGCTCAGCCTTATTTGCCAAAAGCTATAAATGATCTGAAACTAGACCATTTAGTGAAAGTTATCACTACCGATGGCAAAGTAACTGTTGGAAGAGTGCGTTATGTTGGTGCTGTCGCAGGACTCCCTGATCCACATGTTGGAGTGGAACTGACTTCAGGGACTGGCGATTCAGATGGTTCTTTCCGGGGACGACGTTACTTTGAATGGTAATTCACAAAATTCATTTCTAAGCAGGAAAGTACCATGCTATTAGCATTTCACTACATAAACAATGTATTTATTTTTCAGCAATCAGTCTTATTCTTTATTTGTGCCATTCAAGAAAGTAGTTATGGCCTGGAGGACTTAAAATATCACATCACATTATCCTTATCTTTCTCCTGTTTTGTCAAAAGCATAACGCTCCTGTTGAATGTTTGTGATGACTTTATTTATTATTTTATTTTTGTTATCAACTTTTGCTGAAAAAATGTTTTGTTTTGTGTACAAATATTATTTTTAAGTGTGTTAAGTTACTTTCTTGTTTGTTCCTCTTTTTTGTTATGTTTGCATTGATATTTCCATTTTGAGTTTTACTGTTGTCTGTTTGAGATTTTACCAAACACTGGTGTATCACATTCCTATATATTTTTTAATCCGTTTAACTGTTTTACCGTATTTATTTGAATCTAAGACTCACAGTTTTACTCCATTTTCAATCGGAGTACTACATGTTACTGACAAGACCATGTATTGCAGTGAAACCTTTTTATCAGAAACCTCAACAGTTTGCAAATTTTGATCTTTTCCTCTCTTTTGTAATTTGTGAATTGTGAAAAAAGCAATAGTGTTTGGGTGACCGTTAACATCACAACATTAATTTATGTCTAAATAATGACTTTCTGGTGACCATATCTTAAGCTTTTATTGGCAAGTCATTCTACGTGAAATAAGTAGTTGAAGTAGACTTGCTCCAAAAGATAGAGACTAAGTGTTTCCTTTTAGCAAACATGTTGTCAGTGTGCTTGCAGAACAAGCTGGTGTATGTCCCATAGTGGAATGGAGTGAAAATTTTGATTGGACTAGATTTCTTTAAAGTCCATTGGTGGTCATCTGACATAACAACATATGTGATATGGGAAACCCATAATACCTTTTTTGTTATGTTCAATGACCTGTAAGGTACTATGCATAAATAGGTACTGTCTAACTTGTGTAGACATGTGTTGAAGATAGCTTATCCAATATGAAATCGATAACGTAGCTCAGAATAAGGTGTATGGAGTTGAACTCTCTTAAAAAGGTATGCCAAATTGTGCATCTTTGTGATGGTGGTTGGACTATTTTTCTGAGTCTTGCCCATTGAGAAATTATATGCATTTCATTTATAAATATTTTTAGTCTTTGGGGACAATAAGGTCACAACTTGGCAACGTCATAAGTGAGTTCAACAGTCTTCATATGCACTCTCATATTTTTTTTCAAAAGCGAAAGGAGTATTTATGAGTATTTTATTGTCCTTTGTTAATTGCAGGGTACCTTGAATGAAGAGTCAGATGTATCAACTCTCTGTGGTTTTGATGATAAGCAACACATCCCTCCACTTTAGAATCAAGTCTTTATTGTGTAACCTAATGTTGTTTAGGATCTATATTATCTAAGCTTTGAAGTAGCCTGTTTGATTAACGTATAGTGTGACCTAATCACTTGGTCTCATTACCTGGAACTTTGATTTAAAAACAACTGACCCTATCACTTTAGCATATCATCTGCTCTCTTTCTTTTTCATTGATACTAGAGATTTCATAAACAAATTCCTATTTACTAAGTTTTTATCTTGTATCTTTTCATCATCTCTTTTCAGCAATCTGTCAGATTGCTGTGTAATGTTTTTCTTTTTCATTGAATCTCATGACCCCAGTCAGAAAATTTGTAAAAACTAGATTCCCGAAAATCCTTTCCATTTATTTGATTGGGGTGTGTGGACAATGAACAGTGTCCTTATCAGTTGATCTCTTATGTGATTGCTTTTAATGTTGTTATAATTTAACATGACTTATGATTCCATCAGTATTTTTAATTCTTCTTTAAAATGTTCAATTTTTTTTTTAAACATTTCAGTATTAATGTTTTCCAAACATCATCCTTGTAAGTTTGTTTCCCTGTTTTTATACTTGTTCTATTCTGGCCTTAAACTTGGTATTTTAGGCAGTCAACTTTATCTTCTATCCCAGAGAAAAAAGGCAAGCTAAGTTTTCTTTGCAGATTCAATCTATCAAGTGATTTCTAGGTACACTAATTTGTTTTTAAATATAAATATTCTTTTATAGATGTGTTAACCTGTTGCCTTGAAGATTAGGTGTTTTTCCCTAGTGGGGTCAATGAGGCTTAGCCATATTGTGGGTGTTGTCTAAATAATTATCAGCTTTCTTTGTAAAGATATTTGCTACAAGACAGCTGATAAGGGTTTGACACCACTTGAAAACTATCTGTACATTCTTGTGCATTGCTTGTCTCATTGTGCTGGAGAGCCCTGTTCAACCTTTTACAAACAAAAGTGCCTTTTCATTTAAAAAGGAAAAGAAAAAAAGAAGCATATCTGTCTTTAGATTATCTGTAAATTTGACTTTCTATGTGTGATTTGTGTTAAAATTATTTTCTAGTGCTTTAGGGGAAAGCTACATGTTATGTGAGACCATTTCCCAAGAGGCTTATGGATGTTTACCAGTTACTCCATGTTAACATTCGTGTTAATATGTCACTTGCTGCAGTGATGCTAAGATGTTACATTTAGAGTAAAAATGAGTGCTTTTCTTTGGCAGCCTTTTCAGTAGTACAAAATGCCAAAGCTACTCATATCAATGGGAGTGCCTTATTCAATACCTTAAAAAAGAGAAGACTTTTGTTGATAATGGTCTAATATAATATTCTGATAACTTACAATTTTAATGCTTACGCAACATACAACTTAAGTTGTTACCTACTCTGCCTTAAATTCTACTTATTGCCATGGCTGGTCTTTGCATTTATTATAATCCTGTATTGTGTGATTACCTTATTGTAATAACTTGCGCACATAATTTTAAATTGCACTATCTAGATTCAGAATTGATTCCTTTACTTAAAGCTCTATTTTATTTAAACATCTTGTTTTCATGCCGTAAAAATGTTCTAGTGTGATAGATCTTAATGCACCTTCATATTCATGCTTCGGAATTAGAGTCAACTGCTAGTGGACAGGTTTGGTAACATCTACATATTAATTACAAAAAGATCTTCAGATGTTGTATCCGGTTCAATAATTTTCTAGCAATATTCGTCGACTAGTGACCAATGAAAAGACCTGATCAATTTTGTTCCTAGGGTACTGACAAAACACTCAACCCTTGTTTCATGATTTCAATAAAGAAAAATATGCTTTGTTGAACTAACTTTTATGATACCTTTACCTTTTATTAGTAATGAGAGAACAAGCTAAAAGCAAGGGAAGTCTCAACATATTTCATTTGTTCTTGATCTTCCTTGCCAACATAATGGTGGACACACTTTACAGGACAGCAAAGTCGAGTATAGGGGAAATTTGTATATACAACAGATCTATCGGCTTCCAGCTACAAAAACTGACAGAACTTTAAAATTTGATAAGAAAAAAAAAGAGAAATATGTAGGTAGATGCCTATGACCAGCACACAAACAAACCAACCTACAAATATTAAATTTCCTGTGTACAAAATTTTAAAAACTCACAAATCCAATCACTAAAAATTTGTTAAAAATTACTTTTAATTACAATACATTAGCTCAAGAATCAGCTTCCTTTCACACATCATTTTGATTAGTCTCCAAATTTGGAGAAATTTTGGATTGCTCAAAATCATTGGAGGTTGAATTAAACTGGCACGGCACAGGCTCTACTATAGAGGCACCATCAGGTGGGAGTCTCTCCACAGGAGAATCCCCTTGCAAAGACCTGCTAGAATTAGAATCATTGCAATGACAATCATCTGAATCACTCAGTCCATTTTCAGAAGTTTCATCCGTCCTTTTCGCCGGGGAAGGTTCGTTTTCTACTTTAATCTGACTTTTTACATTGATGTTCTGATTTTCCACAGAGTCTCTATCACTCCGATTATGCACATCCTCTTCATCCAGTTCTACAGCATCGAAACCATTCTCAGTCGGAACCTTTCTTCTATGTTTGTGAGCAAAGTGTAATCTTTGACCCCTTGCAGACTTAAACACTTTGTCACATTCTGGGCATTTGTTATCACAAATGTGGCCGTCACCATCTATGAGTCCTTGCCCACAATCCAAGCAGCACTTGTTTAAATCATCCAATTGTTTCCCACAACAAGTATGCCTATTCAAGGCCTCTACATTTCGAAAGTCTTGATTGCATCCACTACAAGGAAAGCTCGTTTTAGCTTTGCTCACATGAGTAGCCAGATGAATTTTGTAATATTCTCTGGATCTACAGACAACATGACATCGTTCACACTTAACACTGAATTGTTCAGATGTATTTTCAGAACTGTTGACAACAGTGCTAGTAGAGGTGCTTCTCTTCTTTTTTCCGGTTTGACCTTTTCTTGACTTTTTGGGAGCCACACTCTCGTCATCTGATTGCTCCTCTGTGGCATGATGATACAAATGCAATACAAAACTATCCTCTTCATCAAATGCTTCATAGCAGATATTGCATGATAGTGGCTTCTTTGTAACAGGTGATGTCAAGTTGCCATTTTTCTCAAAATACTTCTTGATGGATGCTTGAGTAACAACATGGCAACGTTTATGGCTACTTAATGCTTTCTGGGAATCAAACACTTCACTACAAGAAGAACACCTGAACCTTCCATGTATTATTTTTTCATGGTCCAACAACATACGGTTACTCCGAAAGAGTTCGTGACATGTTATACATGAAAATGTGGTTGTTGAAGCACCATCTTCATCTTCATCCAAGAAAACTTTACTTTCGGACTCTGCTTTACAATCAGTTTCAGATTTAACAAAGAAGTTATGGTTATCTTTGGTATGAGTAGAGAGCATTACACTAGAGGCAAATCTTGCAGGACAACTGTTACACTTCCACCGGAGATGCTTCACATCACAATCAAGGGGAATAGAAATGTGAACAGCTTCATGGATTACTTTCTCCTGAAAAGAACTAAAATCCTTTTGGCAAAATCCACACTTGAGACACTTTTCCAAGTGGACATTCAAGCTGGCCTTGCTGCTAAATGATGACAGACAAAATACACAGTTCCACTGAGATGATTGGACTTGTCTTTTTCTTGATGCAGGTCCTGCTAATGGTGGATGTTTTGTTTTGGCTTTCTTCATGTTCTTTTCTGGACCTTCAAAACTTGTGCTGTCAGCACTGTTGTAAAATCGTTTGCGCTTCAAATCTTGATGAGTACTCGTTGATGCAGGATTTTCAAATTTTGTTGCTTCCATTGAGGAAGAAGGTTTAGGTGTGCTAGAGAAAGGAGATTCAAGGTTAGGGGGCCATTGATCATCTCCCATCAACTCCGTTTCAGATTTGACTCGTATTTTGGCCTCACTTCTGAAAGAAAACCAAGGTACACAACAAGAAGTAAATATCAAGCTAGTGAACAGATTATTTATGAAGTTATAAAAACTATCTTGCACTAAAAAAATTTATCACATGTTAACTGACAAGAAGTTAAATTATTGAGTACATGCAGTTCATAACAACAACAAAATTCTTACCGAGTTGAGGATGGCAGATTGGAAGGAAGATCCTGGTCACTCTGCAATCCAACAACAAATACAGTTAATGACAAGCAGCTTTTTTTTCTAAAAGGAGGAGATCTACAAGTATTTGTGATATGCTTACCATTTGAAGGTGGCCGGCTTTCAATAAGTACTCCTCAACATTTGGAACGTGTTTTAATGGAAGAAGATGAGACTTTATCCGTTCATATGAGTTCAAAGCCATGGTTCGGAATTCATATGCTTGATCTATTTTGTACAGACACTTATGACAAATTTTGGTGGGGAGTGGATCACCATCATAGGACTGCAAGCAAAAGCAAAGTAAAAATTTCAATGATTTTAGGAAACATGTTCATGAGCTAGTGATGTATAATTTGACCCACATCAGTTCTTGTGAGGCTAATGCCATCTTAAGAAAGCCCCGACCACAACACTCACTTTTAATTGAAGGCATGCCTCGATTTTGTGGCCAATCTGGCGATTAAGGCCTTCGCCATCAAATAGCGGAGCCATAATACCGTCGTCCAGGAGACACAACCTGCAGTGATTCCTCCAACTGGATATTATTTTTACGTCGAGAGCCATTGTCGCCGTGATCGGAAACGCTTGCTCACAAATAAACTGCCACAATTATTAAAATTTTCTTGGAAGCCTGATTAGTGAGTGACCTAATATAATATTTTACCTGGAAGGAAACACGTTTGATCATAAGTGACAAACCGGGCTGAGGAAATTGTATGCGGGAGAACACTTCCTTTAATGATAAGGACATACCGGGATCGCCGAATAAACAGGGCCACGATTAAATGCACTTAGATGCTCAACAATCGCCAACAATGATAGCTGCTGAATACCTGTCCGGGTCAATCAAAATAAAAAAATATTTGAGTTTGACAACAACAAGGCACAATGGAACTTTCTTGGGTTATGGGTGTGGTGGTGGTGGTGGCGGCGGCGGGGCGGAGGCGGTAACCCCCCCCTTTTTTTTGCTTGATTTCCCGCGGCTTTATAAATGGAAAAAGTGGGTGAGATAATGAATTTTCGTCTCCGTAACTGTTGCAAGGAGGCCAATTTTACCCACTCCGTCAAAACGACTTCAGTGATAGGGTGATTTAGCGACTTTAGAAACTCCCGCTTTTGAGCGAGCTTCCTGCAGATAACATTTCCTGCGCATAGATGTAGAAGCGTTGTTTGCACCACAAGGCAAGAAGAACAAGACAAGGAAGGATGAGTGGTGGGAGTGAGTGAGTTGTGTCAGCGGTCGACGGGACTCGCCCATTTATGTGCATTTGAAACCTATGTTTCACGATCAAAATGATACTTCTCGAGATCAATAATAGGATAGTCGAAGAAACCCTTTCACACAAAATTAAAAACGCTTTAGCAGGGTACGTACCAAGGGCTAGTGCCCATCACACTCTCCGTAAGTTCATGTGCCGAAAGGGTGGAGCTGCATGAAGTTGAGGCTAAGGCAGCTTTGACGTTTTTGTTTACGCCGTTCCCTGCTCTCAAATGTTAGCTGAGTGACTCGGGATGGACGTGGGCGTCCGTTCTTAATTTCCAGGGTTGGGGGGCCAGTTACACTGCCAGTCTACTACCTGTCTCCGTCTATTTCTGTGTACTTGGACCTCACTCAGATAAGGTGTTATTCATGCCAAGTTTGGTGTAGGTTAGGTTGGAACTTTTCGGCATTCTCTCTGTGCGATTTCATTCGAACTAAGTGAAACCTCTTCATATTATCTGCTGCTGAGATCTTACTTGATTCACGCATCTGACCATTTCCAGTTAAAATCTCGTTGCGTCTGGAAAATGATAACCTGTCGTCACTGTCATTCTAACCATTGCATTTCCCTTCGGCAGGAACAAGCCAGAATCAACCGAAATTCTTGCAGCTGACTTTGATGGCGTCCTTTTCCACATCACAAATGTTGGAGGTGATAAAAATAAAGTCAGGGTAAGATATTTGGTCATTCCTCTGCTTCAATTGATTCGAATCACAATGTAACATAATATCGCACACCCTTAATTTTTTTGCTTATTTTAGGTTAGTATTTCTCTCAAGTTCTACAAGCAACTCCAAGAGCATGGGGCTGATGAACTGCTGAAAAGAGAATATGGCTCTCTCTTAATTGACCCTGAAGATGGTTAGTGCCACTGTACACTTTCAATTTTATTTTTAGCTTTGGTAGCTCTTAATACTTCATCAAAGCAAAACGTTCATTGTTTTTCTCTCTGTTTTTTTTTTTCTTTTTTTTTTCAGGATACAATGTATCTGTTCTTGTGGATCTAGAAAATATTCCCCAAGATTGGGAGGAAATGGTGAAAAAGATTGGTCTTCTTAAAAGAAATTGTTTTGCCTCAGTATTTGAAAAATACTTTGAGTTTCAAGAACTAGGTGAAGAAGGCCATAAAAGAGCTGTTATCAATTACCGAAATGATGAAACAATGTAAGCCATACAAATTTCGTACCATAAATCTGCTAAACTCAAAGTGTGGTTTATGTAACTATTTCTTTCCTGTAATAGGTATGTGGAAGCCAAAGCAGACAGAGTGACTGTTGTATTCAGTACTATCTTTAAGGATAAGTCAGACGTTGTGATTGGCACAGTTTTTATGCAGGAGTTTAAAGAAGGTCGCAAGGCTAGCCACACAGCCCCTCAAGTATTATTCAGTCACCGGGAGCCTCCTATGGAACTTGCTAACTCTGGAGCTCGTGTAGGAGAGAATATTGGCTACATTACTTTTGGTGTGTACTGTAGCATTTATAATATTGCTGTGTTGTAGTCCATTTAGAATCGTCCCATTTATTTATCTTTTTCAATTTTATTTTCAGTTTTGTTTCCAAGGCACACTAACAGGACAACCAGAGATAACACAATTAATTTGATACACATGTTCAGAGATTACCTTCATTACCACATTAAATGCTCGAAAGCTTACATCCACTCTCGAATGAGGGCAAAGACTTCTGATTTCCTCAAAGTTCTGAACAGAGCTAGACCTGAGCCCAAAAATGTGGAAAAGAAGACTATAACGTAAGTTCATGTTCATGCAGATTTTATCCAAGTTTCTAACCATATTTGTTATCATTGTTTTATTGAACCACCCACAATTTTTCAAGACTTATTTCATCTTTCTTTGTTACAGGGGGCGAACATTTATTAGAAAAGAATAGACTAATGAAGACTTTTATTCTGTTCGTTGAATGGTGGAGATTCTGCGTATCGTCTTGCAGTGTTTACAGCTAGCTGTGATAGTAGCGCTCCCCGCACAAAGACCTGCCATATGAGACCATTCATCTGCATTTAAGGTGGCCTACACCTAGTTTGAGCTTTGTTTTTAATTAACATCTCCAAAACCCAGTTGTTATTACTATTATTATTATTATTATTAGCCTCAATATTATACATAGATTGTTATTTGGACTATTATTTCTTATTTAGTACTGTACATGATGTCTTCTGTTCATAACTTTATACATACCCAAACTGTGAACTACACGCTAAAGATGGCGTTAAGCACTAGCATTTCGCCTCTATACAGTGTGACTTTGTTCCCCAGTAGTAATCTTTAAATCAAGTGTGATTGTTATTGCCGTGGGTCATTTTTATCAAGTCTGTTTAGTAAACCCGGATTCTTGAACCTACTTTGTCAATCATGTCAACATGCTATTCCATATGCATTCATGAAAATATTTATGACTGGTCACTTTCCCCTTGCATTCTTCTATGTTTCAGAACAGTTTTGTGACGTTAGGTTATAGTTGGTCTATTTTTGTACTATAGTGAACACTATGTATTGTGTCAATATTTACTTATTCTGACCTCCCCATGTTTGCAATCCTTAGATAAATTCCCATAGTTGTGTTCATGCAATTAGGCACTTTCTTAAGCCAGGATGAAAATGATTTCTGTAAACCAATCACTTTTTAATTTTAAAGCTTTTTTTTCTTACTTGCATTATTTGAGCTTAACTTTTTGTATTATTTGTAGTTATTGACTTTCTCCTAGTCTAATTCTTCTTCCTTTTTTTTTTTGTTAATGTTAATACTATTCATTTCAAATACTTCTGCCTCAAATATTCTGAGCAATTTGCCTCTATGCAGCATCAACTTTGTTTCATTAAAGGCAAAGATCTTTTTTACCTTTTTTTAAAGTTATTAAATCAAGTTTGTGCTTAGAGTGATTATCATCTGGCCCTATGACATTGTGTGTACATATGTGTACATGTTTATATAGAAAGGGTTAGATTAAATTTGTTAAATGTGATTGATCATTTACTAATGATTCTTGTGGTCTTGTTCTTTTACACCTATTATGCCTACTTTTCATAGTGAAAACTATGTTCCAGGGCTTCACTAACACATTTCCAATGTGAATTACTCGGTGACTCACAATTTAATCATGCTGGTCTTTGTCGGCCCCTTGGCAAAGTACCAAAAAAAAATGTCTTCCTGTACGTTTTTTTTTAAATGTTGACATTTTAATTGAACTCAGATTCTCATTTATTATTGCCTTTTCTATTTGTTGTATTTTGATTGGCTCTTTATTTTCATCATATCAGAAGGTACTTAAGGATTTGTTTGATGTTGCTTTTCTTTTCAGCGAGGAGAAATACATTTGGGTGCAATTTCCTTGTACAATATTGCCAAGTAGTGCGGCATCAAAAGTTAGTTTCTATTAATTTGAATATGTTGTGAACTCAGGAAGTATTCAAACATTCCCTTTCTGGAGCTCTCCAAATCTCTCTCTCTCTCTCTTTTTGTGTTTTTTTTTTCTTTTTTATTATTTTTTTAAGAAAGAGGTTTTGTTGGAAGTGAGGGAGCCCCAGGAGATGGATGCTTAATGAACTGATCCAGATAAACAATGCTCAAACATTATGTAAACTTAATTAGTGGTCTTTTGTCAGGGCAATTACTTGCATATTTTAAGACGCAATAAAGAGAGATTGTTATTGAAAGAAAATCTGTTAGGGATGGCTTGCATCTGTTGAGGCAAGTTACAGTAAAAATAAATAAGTAAAATGAGAAAAAGCTGTTGGAAACTCATTGAACTGTAGAAGTTTATTGGGAGCACTCGCCTTCCAGTTGTCACAATTTTACAGTTTTTACAAATTGAGGAAGAGCTAAGTGTCGGGAGCAGCCTTCACCAACTCTACTTACATGTTACAAAATATCACATTTTTAGCCTCGTTGAGAGGATCTTTGAGTTTTAAATAAATACAATGGAATATATCAGCTGGTAATAATCACGAGATTCATTGCACACAACAAACTTAAAACAAAAGAAATATATACATGTCTTGTAAAAATCAGATCTAAAAAAGCAGTCAATAACAAAATCCACAGCAGGGGAAATATGCAGATGACTCAGACTGACTGAAACTGTTTTGTGGATATTTTCTAGAACTATCAGGGTCTCGGAATGTTTGTTTAAAATAGAAAATCAGATCCACACAATCTTGCCCTACTGCAACTATATACGTACTTCAGCTGGCAAACTTATTAGGTTACTTGATAGTAATTCACTTGCGCTTCCCAAGCTCTATACTTCTCAAGGTTGAAGCTTCTACTGCTGCCATCATTGCAGACCTGTAAGGGTGAATTAAAGGGAATTTAAACACGATTGATAAAGATGGGATCCATAATACATCACTTCATTTTAATTTACCTTATAGCACACTTCTCAAGAGCTTGAACACCTGCTATGGTGCTGCCACCCGGTGAACATACTTCATCTTTAAGCTGCCCAGGATGCTGTCCTGTCTTTAAAACCATCTGAGCAGCACCCAACATAGTCTGTGCCGCTAGTTGTTGAGCCATTTCTCTAGGTACTCCCATATTGACACCACCATCAGCAATTGCTTCAATCATCATGTACATCTAAATAAACACCAACACCATAAAGCTGCGAAATTTTTCAAAAGAAAAGGTGTAAGGTTGTTGATGTTTGGAAATTTCTATACTTACAAATGCAGGTCCACATCCAGCAATGACACCTGCACCACTCATCATACTCTCCTTAATCTCAAGACACAGTCCAAGCTCTGAGAGCAACCCTTTGACAATTTCAGTATCTCTATCAACTGACGTGCATCCGCCACAAAAGACTGCAAAACAAAACAAAAACTCTTCTATTTTAATAAAAACTAAAATTTTAAAAAATCAGGAGGATAAAAATTACTGATGTAAAATGTACCTGAGCATCCTGCTCCCACACGAAGAGGAGTATTGGGCATAACTCTCACAACTCTAGAGGAAGGCACTAGTGTGGAAAGAGCCTGTAACATCGCCAGAGAAATGTTATGTCCTGTTAATGTAATGAAACCATGCAAGTTTTTGGATAAATTTTACCTCTTCCAGAGCTGTTGAAGAAATCCCAGCAATGACAGACACAAACAGACGTGGGATTTTATCAAGAGTTGGTGTGATTGCACTCAGTGCTTCATTCAAATACTGTGGTTTGACAGCTAAGAATATGGTTTTACAATTTTTCACAATGTCATCTGTAATGAAATAAGGGATAATAATCTTCAGCACAAAATTTCCGCAGTATCCCCATATAAATACTAAACGGCAGTACCATTCCGATGAGTTACGTTCATTCCTTTCTCTTTCCAACTTCTCAAATTTCTCTCCGATGGAGCAGAAGCATAGATATCACCAGGCATAATTAAGCCTGCAAAGCATTCACGTTACATTAAATTGATTGAAGAGCAAATACAAATTAATATTGAACAACGGCTTTTAAAAGCTATTATTACCTTGTTTCACAAGACCATCAGCTATAGCCTGTGCCATTTGACCTGCACCAATAAATCCTAAAGTGCTCTCTCTAAGGTATTTCTGTATTGTCATTCGATCCATAGTGACTGCGCAGCAAAAGAAATGTTTATTTTAATTAACATCTTCAAGCAGACAGCCCGAGCAGAAGGTTTTGTCATACGTCACGTGTAATGGTTGTGAAATTTAGCTTGATCTAGTAAAACAGCACAAAATGCATTGTGTGTTTGACCATACTTGAAATAGTTACTGCGTTTACAGATGGTGCAATCAACTTAAATCTTTAGTTGAGCAGGGAGCAGGACGCAGGTACTAGCCGCCAGGACACCGATGCGATGAAAATTCTTTCTGCATGCAAAGGTTGGCTACCCTGCGTTGTCTTTTGTTTTGTGTTGTGTTGTGTGGTGGTGGTGGTGGCCAAGCTGACGAGGAAGCGGATCGAGGGAGGGAAGTCGCAAGTCACACAGCGCGCGCATCCTTTTGAACCTCAACTTCGGACCAAATTATCAAATGGGGCGTGGAATGGATGAACTATTGTCAGGGGGTACAGTAAGGAGAGAATTTATTTGCAAAATTTGAAACATTGCAGTCTTTTAAAGCTGCAGTGAAATCGCCGCATGACCAGAGTACCCACACGCTCCTTATAGGACGCTGATCGAAAGTTACTGAGCATAGTATTAATTCCATATCGTCGTTTGTTAGGAATGCCCCACATTTCTTGTCTTTATTCAATCGGCGGCGAAATATAACGCAACCGTACACCGTATGTCCATTGGCTTTGTACAAAGTGCATTACACTGATATTCTTATAAATTATTGGTAAACTTAGCTATATTACAATAAATTAATTAATATTAAAAAGTACATGTACACATAAGTTAAATAATTACAAAACATTTACACGCGTAACGTTATCATCACAAGAACTGGTCTGAAAATGGTAACTTACCCTTAACTGAATTACAAGCTAAAAAATGTCTATTTTTTTGAAAAAGTTTTGTAGACCTTAACTCGATAAAATAAACAAAAACGAATCAGGATTTGTAGGGGCAGAAATACAAACATGTCTCGTCGTCTTCTTCCTCTCGTTCATGACATCAATTTCCATGCTTAACTCTTGAGATCAAAACAACAACAGTTATTTTTTACCACCTTACCAGGGTGAGTTCGTAGGTATGAGAAAAATCACAGGGCCCATAATAACATTTCGTTTTACGACCTTTGTTTGTCTGATTCCGTGCATTGCATGGTTACGTTTCGACTTAAGCCACGCAGTGGTAAGTTCCACAAGCACGCGATCATCTCACACACACACACGAGTCCCTCATGTTGGTCTTCACCCAGTCCAGGTAGCGGGTGACGCGAGTGTACACCCCCGGGTATCCCGGCCGGCCGCAGCCCACCCCCCACGACACGATACCTGAAACAGTCAAACATGCCGAGAGCACAGAAAATAAGTGAAGAGGGCCTTGACAAAAAGAGAAGAAGAACGCCCCAGGTGGCTGGTATTCGAACCCCGGGCAGCAGGACAGTCGAGGAACTGTACTGCTTTACGTACCGACTACTTGATTCCTGCCATCTTCGCCCGTGCCCACGATCAGTGGCCCTCCACTGTCCCCCTGGGGAGCAGAAAAGGGGAAAACGCCTTGAGTACATACTGAGTAGGCCTGGTGCGCCACCCACACCCCATTCACTTCTGGGAGTAGCATACCTGGCACGAGTCCTGGGTGCCCTTGCCGGCGCACATCATGTTGGGGGTGATCCTGGAGGCGCGGTACTTGGAGGCACGACACTCGGCCAGCGTCAGTATGGGCACCTGCACCTCCTGGATGACGGCGGGCAGCTGGCCGCCTTCCTCCGTGCGGCCCCAGCCCACCACCGTGCCCGCCATCCCGGCCGGGTCCAAGCCTGTCAAGCAGTAAGATCGCTGGTTCAAGTACCGACCAGAGCACAGCCTGCCGCCGTAGAGGTTTCCGAAGCTCTACAAACTGGCACACTGTTGAGTTTGTAGAGAGTGGGCGACGGCCAGGATACGTACCGGGCTGCGGCAGGCACACAGGCCGGATGCGCTTGGTGAACTCGACGGGCTTCCGCAGCTTCAGCAGGGCGATGTCGTGGTTGTACGAGTTGACGTCGAAGTTCCGGTGGCGGATGACTAGAGACACGGCCCGCATGATGGCCGGGGCGTCCGACGTCACGTACTGGTCGTGGTCGCCCAGGATCACACGGATCTTGGACCTCTTCAACCTGTCTCGACAAGAAGACACTCATGTAGTACGTGGTCAGTGACAACTGCTTTTGGAGGAGAGATTCAGTCAGCCCCGCCCCGCTTTCCGCAAGGTCACATGATCTATACAGTGCACAAGCAAGCACGTAGGGTACACAATTCCCCTCCGTTCAATCAAGTCTATCTCTATTTGTGACCGTACGCTCAAACCTCTCTTATTTTCGGACTGAAAATAAAAGCACGGCTGTTCGTCCACGCGCCGCACGAGAGTTCTTTCTTCTCCTCACGATTTCCCTTGGGGTTTGGCACAGTGGGTTGGCGTTGCCACCAGTGTGCCGGAATTCCGTGGCGGTTCCGGCCGGGAGGTTCGAGGCTTATGGGAATAAAAAGTCGACATTTTGCGAAACTCGTTCTTTGCAGATTCGGAACAGTTGCCTCCGTCGGCGGAACGTTCCGTGAGTGCGAGAGAGACGGACGCGGTGCCTTGTCTTTACCTCCGGACGCAGTGCGCCGCCGTAAGGACGTAGTCGCCGTTGAGCAGAGAGCCGCCGCAGTGGAACTGGCCGTCGTACACCAGGCGCACCACCCAGGGGTAGCGGTTCACGCCAGTGGGCCTGCCGCCCACGATCCGGATCTCCTGGTTGATGATCCCGCAGTCTGGCGGCAACAACAACATGAATGAAGAAACAGAAACAAAACCAAAGACGCGCTTGGGAAGCGACGGCTGAAAGGACACTCACTGCAGTTGCACGACCCGCTGGTCTCGCGCTCGTCCTCGAAGTCCCCGAAGAAGATGTCGTCGAAGAGCAGCCTGGAACTGTTGGCCCGCGTTCGCCGGAACTGGCGGCCCGCGCTGCCAACCTCGTTGCTCCGCGAGTCCACCTGCAGGGCGCCGCGAGGGAGTTGGGATTAGCACAAACAGCAGACGTGGGAATTCCCTCCTTGAGTGCCCCCCCCCCCCGGCCGGGCCTTGACCCCCGCACCCCGCGGCCCCCGCATCCCGCGGCCCCCGCATCGTGTGGCATCGCGGCCTGGCCGCCGTGTCGCGGCGTCTTTCGAGCGACGCGACGCCGCGAAAGCAGGTGGGGTGCAGCGCGGTCGCGCGCCACTTTGTCAAGGACGCCGTTTGATGCAACGGTGCCGTCACAATGCTCGCTCGCCCCGCGCCGCAGCGCGCCGCCCCGACTGACAGGTGGGCGCGTAAAGGACGTGTACGTAAAGGACGTGCGTAAAGGACGTACGAAAAGGACGTAACGTAAGTAATGCCATTGGCGCCGCTCTCTGGAGACCGGCTGCCTCGGCCCGCCTGTCCCTCTGGATGCAGTAGGACGCAGAACCGGTGCGAGTGCTGGCAAGTGCGGGCGGGCCAGGGCCAGGCGAAGGGGGAAAGGGGCAGGGCACGCGCCCAGACTGCCCCGGACGCCCCGGACCTCTCCGCGCTGCTGTAACACCGTTTGCTTCCACTGCCGATGGGTGAAATCGTATGGGACTTGACTTTCTATTAAAGCATAACTCTGTCAACGCGTCGCCGGCGGCGGCGGCCGCACCGCGCCACACGTACGTGCTTATTGGGTGTTGTAGTGTTGTAGGTGTGGCGCAATGCACGGGAATCCGAGGGAGGCTGTCGTCCAGCCCGGGGGCGGGGCGGGGTAAGGTCATATGGAAGATTGCGCAGACCTATCTTCCATATGACCTTAGGGCGGGGTGGGGCAGTGCGGGTCATGACCACTCCAAGTGCCCGTCGCGCGCGCGCGCAGCGGTGCAGGCACGCGCCGCCGAATATACCGCGCAAATTTCTCCCAATCATGGCATTGTTTTCGCGCAAGACAATAATGAGACTCTCCCTCGGTCGAGGCACCCTCACCGCCCATCCATCTATCCAACCAACCGTCCGGCGCGAGCGCGTCGCCGACGATCAGTTCGATTGTCTTGTCTTGCGAACGTCTCACGTTTCGGCCCGCGCATGACGCGCGCAATGTTCAACGCGCATGCCGGCCCAGTGATTTCTCTCGTCGGTCTCGATGCTCTTCGAGTCAATCGAGTCGCCGAACGCGACAACGCGACCGGGCAACCAGGAAGTTGTGCTCGGAATGCGATTGGTCAGGCTGGGGCACTTGTCGCTTACCGGGCAGTCACTCAGGTCCAGCGGGCTGATTCCGAACACTGGTTTCGTCGCTCCGTCTCTCTCGCACTCGTGGAGCGGACCGTGGGTGTAGGAGTGCGCGAGCGACAGAGCGACAAAACACTGCTGAATCGCCGCACAGGTAGGCGGCCGATCAGACCGAGTGATTGACACACGACGGCGGGCGGCGCGGCGCGGGCTTTCCACTCCGCCATGGCGCGGGCCGCCGTCAGTGCTTCGACACGGCGCCGACACGGCGCGTAACATTCATCGCGCATCACGCATCACGCCGTCCGCTGGGTCCGCCGGGTCCGCCGGGTCCGTCAGGTTACGGCGAGCCCGTCGTAACTTTCATTATCACTGACACACACGCGGGCTGGGCTGCACGCGCGCCCCGCCCGGCCCCGCCTATCCGCCCCTCCCACTTGACGCACTTGGTGGCGGCGTGGCGGCCTGGCGGCTTGGCGGCGGCGGGCCGCGGCTACCTTTCCCGGACACGGAGGCGTCGCGGCGCCTCGGAGCGTGGACACACAATTAGCACTAGCACGTGTTGCACACAGCATGAAGCATGAAGCATGGAGCATGAAGATGGCACCACCTTCTCCGAGCCGGGCTGCGCCGCGCGCCGCGCACCATGATGATGCAGGTGTTCCAGCCGGAACGACGGCGGGGCGTAAGCGGGACATTAGCGGGGCGTCAGCGGCGCGGGCCTCTGTCCTTGCAGCACTGGAGGCACTTACTCGGCACAACACCCGCGAGGTTCGGCAAACCGGCGCCGCGCGTGATCGCCCTACTACGAACCTGCCACGCCGACGCGTTGTACTGGGGCAGGGCGTCGACGGCGAGGTCCCTGAGCAGCAGCAGCACGGTGGCCCAGGCCAGCGCCGACCCCAGTCGCTCCTCCATGCTGCGCGCTGCGCGGCGCTGTCCCTCTTCGCGGCGAAGCAGGTCGCGTGGCACTTCCTGAGGGCGGCGACTCGCCGCGAGGTGCAGTCCAGTCACACCCCGTTCACTTATCGCTGCATGGCGGCGCGCGCACTCCGACCGCGACGTTGGCGTCCCAGAGGTCCAGGCGGGCCCAGGACGGCGAGCGGCACGCGGCGACGGGCGCGGACGGCGCGGACGCGGACGCGGACGGCGGCTGTCCCGGCGCGGTGGGCGTCTCGGCGCGCGGCACTCGGCCGATTACGGCAGGAAGGCGCCAAGGCGGTGTGGGGCCAAACCGCTCCAACGCGGCGTGGCGGCCGCACCGGCGTGGCGGGGCGGGGTGGGGCGTAGGGCCCAGTCTGGACGCGAGGGGCGGGGCGACGGCAGGGGGCAGGGCGGAGACGGGGGGACTTTCACTGGCTGGGGCAGGCAGCCGCGGCCCCGCCGGCCACACCACGATAAGCGCAACGACGCCCCTCCAAGCGTGCCTCCAGCGTGCCTCCAGCGTGCCTCCAGCCACCCCTTTACCCACCCGACAGCTGAGCGCGGCGCCAAGCCCCCTCCCCCCTCTCTGGGCCGTGGGATCCACGGAAGAGGGGAACATCCCGGCGACCTGGGCAAGGTGAGTCTCGGCGAGGCCAAGGCCCATCCTAGGGCCATGTCCTCCTCAAGTACGCCCACGCCGGCACCGTCCACGAGTCTGGGAGGACCCCGAGGCAGCGGGCAGGAACACAAATGCCTAGCCCCCCACCCTCCATACTTCCGGCCAATAATGGCTACCCGAGGCGTGGGCGTGCTGCTTTGAAGAGATCTTGGGCTCCTTAGTATTTACCCATCGTGGCATGTATCACAATGAAAAACTTTTGGACCATGACTCGATCGGATAGAGTAACAAGTGCACTAGTCTCTTTCAGAGATTCAAACAAATCCAGCCTTGAGCCTTAAAACCAAAGTCCGGAAGGGTCCGAAAGAAGAGTTCGAGCCATCGTCACTACAGCGAGGACAAAAAGGGTTGACCTTCCCGAGGGCCAAGGGCCAAGGTCGCCCCTCCCCCTCCCCTCGCGCAAGGCCGCCGTCCCGTTGTCCCGCTGCCGTTCCCGAAAGCCTCGCAATCCCGCCGCACTCCACTCCGCACTGCTGCACCGAACCGGCGCCGGCGGCACGCGCTCCTTACGCAACTCGCCGCGGCGCCGCCGTGGACGCGGCGTTCCGCGGCGGTCGTGCGGCGGCACCCTCTCCGCCGTGTTCCTGCTGGTTCCTCGGCCGTCGGTACGTCTCTCTCGCACTCACGGGACGTCCCGTATTGGTGCGAGAGAGACAGTCTCCTGCACTGCCCGCACTGCGCCGCGCCGTCCGAGTGCACCTTCTCGGCACGCGGAGCACGCGGAGCACGCGGTGGCGGTATGTATTTACGCACCGCCGTCGGCGCCGTGGTCCGCGGCGCGCTGCCCGGCCGGCCGGCAGTGGCCCGGCCCTCCACCGTGGCGGCCATGGCCAGCCATGGCCGGGTCGTTAAAGGGGTGGGGGTTATTAGGCGGTAAGACTTTCACCTCTCGTCCACGCAGTCCACGCAGTCCACGCACGGGCCATTTGCAGCACTTTTCGGAGGTCGTGAAGCAAGTCTTTTCCGCGACGTCGCCGCTGTCGGCGGTGGCAGTATGGCGGCAGCGGTCCGGATTCCTCGCCGGCGATAACTATTAGGGCCGATGGGCCGTAAAGCGATTTCGAGGGCACTTCCAGGCGGCGCCACTGGCTGGCATGGCCGACTGATGTGTTGGGACTTCCCTGGCGAGTCCCAAAGCGGAGCGCGGAGCAACGGCGGAGCCCGACGGGGGAAAGCAGCAGAAATCCCCCCTCGAGCCCCGCCTGCTCCGCGCTCCGCCCCTGGCGCCCGTGGCCGCCACGCCATGCCGCCGTGCCGCGCGGCTTGGCGTGCATATTGCGTGTTGTTGCGCGATTCGGGAAGCAGAATATCAGCCATGCAGTGTCCTTCCCTTTCTCCAGAGAAACCGACGCGGGGCGGGGCGGGGGGCGGACGGCTTGGGGCACCGGGGTGGGCACCAAGCCCGCGGCTGCGTCCGCCTCGCCGTCGCCGTCACCGCCGCGTCGGGTGTCCCTGTCTCGTCTGTTCCGGGAGATCTGGAGCGGCCTGGACCTGGAGCCGCTCCAGACGCGGCCAGTCCAGTCCGGAGTCCAGCCAGGCCGTCCAGACGGGCCGAGCCGATCCCGCCGAGCGGCGACTTGTCGCGGGCAGTTGTTGCCGCCGCCGCCAAACCCATTGGCGGACAAGCAGGACAAGCAACACAAGCAGGACGCGGTCCACTCTGCCGCCCCTCTCCTTCCGTTTCTTCTTTCGTTCCCGTGTCCTGCAAGCCTGGGGAAGGATGCGAGGGACGGGCCGCTTTGAGCGCCGGGCACGCCGGGCGGCGAGGCTGCTCGACGGGCACCTCTGACCCCCGCCTTGTTTGGGAGTGCACCCGGTCCGGCAGTCCGGCTCGCGGAGGCGCAATGCGTCGAGTTGGGCGCGAAGAAGACGGGACAAGGATGGAAGAAAGCACGCGGGCCGAGAGTGAAAGTGGTGGAAGAGAGCAAAATGTGCGGGAGACCTTGGCGCGGCCATGACGACGGGACGACGGGCGTGGTGCGACGCTCTGGCTACTGAAGGGCTCTAGCCATGGCACACCATGGTGCTGGGAAAGGAAGAACGACTTGGTTTGCTCATCTAGGGCTCGTGGTCAGGCACCCGCCGTGCTATGCGACCCCTCCAGAAGCCAGAAAGCTCATTTCGACGACCGGCTTGAGGCAGCACCGTGCGACCAAGAGTTCGGCCCGACGCTGAGCGTGGTGCATGGAGAACTTTGGGACGTACGGTAAGCCACCGCGTTCTCTCCAGTTTCTTAGCTGCCAGTCTCTCGTTCACTCCCAGAGACTCCCCTAGTCGCCTTTCAGATGTCAGGACGAGTCTGACCACTCCGGATAAGCTGTGTCGAAGCACACAGGACACACTGGCAATACCCCGTTCACCGCAGACTCTCGTTACAGCGCGGGGGTATCGACGCTCTAGCATGTCGCTCCCGCCGTGTCTACCCCACGGCAGTAGAGTCTTGTGTTAGAGTCTCTGTCTACTCAGTGTTCGTCGGCCCATTAGCTCAGTTGGTTAGAGCGTCGTGCTAATAACGCGAAGGTCGTGGGTTCGATCCCCCCATGGGCCACTCTTTTTCGTCGATTACGGGTGAGTGCGCAGTGAGCCTGAATGGTGGTTAAGTACTTGCCTAATTAGTGATTATTGTTTGACCACTCCGCTAAATGTGAATCTTAAGTAAAACTGCGGTGCTTAGGGAAGTCCCGTTTACACGCGGGGAGGAAAGTGAATGTTTCAACAGCCTTTCATGAATGAAACTGAGAACATTAGTTCATTTAATTTCTTACTCGATTCTATAAAATGTAGTGATTTCATCTGTACGTTTTTCCGAAGGATGTTTTGTCGTTATAGGGATCACTATAATCTTCACAATAGTAGCATTCTCTTGTATTACCTCTCATCTTATTTTTAATCATTATTCAAGATCGGATGCAAAGACATATGACATAAATTTTCTTTTAGGACGGTATTAAGCAACCGCAACCGCAAACGACTTTCCGCCTCTTTCCGCGGGAAACTAACTACCATTCTGTTGGCTACACTGTACAACGGTTTCCGTGTTGAAAAACAGACCCACTGTCAACAAACCCCGAGTTGAAATTGAACCACGCTCTTGATTCTCGCTGCACGCGTTGAATCATGAATGAAACGATCATTTCAATGGTTTCCCTAGACGTGCTTGTGCCTTAAAATTTCGTTGCTATGGAAGATCAAGACCCCGTTGCGAAGGTTGGGGTGGGAAAGGTATTTGGTGTCGATCCCAGCATTTGTACTCAAATTTGTTCCTTGTATCGTTTATAATCTCTTGGTATACAACGTGACACGATTAACTTATGTGCCTGAACTTTGTGTATTGCTCATTTCTCATCATTTTTCGTGCTATAGCTGATGGGCTTGAGACCATTATTTCTGCTCTCCGAAATCTATTTATAGGTTGGGTTCATTCACCAACTTTGTTTTCCGGCCGGTGTCATCTTCAGGCCTATGTGTCTTTGGCAGTTAATGTTAAGACACCTTTTGAAAATGTTGTGAACAATAATTATTTCCTCCCACTGAGGGCCTCAGCTGTGGAAACATGACATATGTTCATGCGCTTAGGCCCATACCTTGATTTTGGTGCTGTCAGTGTGCTTAGATGTGGATATTGTATTGTCTAATGTGTTCCTGACATACAACTTAGTTTTTGTTTCAATAACCTTGAAACATTATTTAATCATAAAATATTGTCTTAAACTTATAATCCCTTTTCTGCCTCCACTAGGCTGGGTCAAATGTGCAACAAAAACACGGGATTAGGCTCGAAAAGAGTAATACTGGCAAAAGAACTGAAACTAAGAGGGTATCAAATGATACTATGGAAACTATGTACCCTTCATCCTCATCATATACAACTGCCGAAGAGGTATATTTCCTTTCGAGCAAATGTGTAACCATTTTATCACTGCACTCATTACTGCTAGCTGATGACACAAATCATTTTCAGGGCCCTACATCAAATCACAACCACATCCAGATCTCTAATGGCATTCAATCAGCCTCCAAAGCTGTGAGCATGGATGAGAAATATTCTGTGACAGAGCTTTGTTCCCGTATCAGCCACCTGGAAGACTTACTTGCCGGTAAGAGTTTGATAAGTGTCCCATTCAATATTTTGAAGTGGGGATGAGCTGAAATATTTTTGACATGCTTAAGATTCTTATTTGTTTTTGTAGGGAAAGAAGCTGCCCTCATAGCAGTCACTCAGGAATTGGATGCCATAAAGGAAATGAGTTGCATTGATGCTTCTATTGGTCCACTTGCATCTGGATTTGATGTTGACTTTAAGGCCTCCATTGCTGAGTACAATAGAAAGGTTGGTGTTTGCTATGAGACCCATCATATCTCAAATTTTCTTTTATGTTACTGTTAAAACGTATAATGAGTGGTGATAACTTTTATTGAACAGCTTCAAGAGCATGCTGCAGCCTTGTGTCAAAGAGACGAAATGATACAGAAGCTTGCCATGTCATTGAAACAAAGCGTAAGAGACAGAGAGGAGCTGAAGAATGAGGCAGGTCGTCTCACAGAGCAGGTGCACACTCTCCAGTCTCAACTACATGCTGTTGGGCAGCAAGTGCAGCAGCCCCAGGTACTTAATAAAATTTTAATAAATAATGGATATCTATTCATAATAAAACAACTACAGAAATGACAGGTTAAAAGCAAGAAACTGCTGAAATCTAAAACTTTGTGTGTTTCTCTCTGATAGTCTAAACTCCTAGAGGCTCTACAAGAAAAAGATGCCCTGCTACTGAAAAAGTCAACAGAATTAACCCAGTGCAAAGCTCAGTCTTCTAAAGAGGTAAGCCCTTAAAATAGTTTTTAAGAATATTCCTCAATTTAAAGGACTCTTAATTCAACACATCTGTTTAACAGGTTCAATTTTTAATGAGCTCATTGGAGGCGCTTCAACAGCGTGCTGCTAGGAGTGCATCTGCTCCGCCACCTGCTATCCCTAATAAAGATGAATTATCAATAAAACTCTCAAAAGAGTTGAAAGATTTAAGGTAATATCCGAACCTACACAGGAAATTAATGTTTGCATTTTCAGTATGTCAATTACTATGTTATAAAGAAAACGTTTTCTGCTTACAGTGAGCGTTATGAAACTGACAAAACTCAGCTTACAGGGCAACTTGTTGAAGCACGCCGAATTGAGTCTCTCCTCAGATCACAGTTAACTGCTGCTCAGAATGAGTGTGAAAAGCTGAACCTGGACATCTCAAGCTTGAAACTTGCTCATGACACTCAGTTATCTGCTCATGAGGGAGCATATTTCTCCCAGAGTGCCCATGAGGTAGACACACTTTGTTTATTGTTATTCATTTTTAACCTGCTGTAACTTTTCAAACATGTTTTCTACTGGTTTTCTACTCTATTCGTGTTCCAGGAACAACTGAATCAAAAGCGAGATGATAGAGAAAAGAGAATTATTGAATTAGAAAATGAAGTTGAATCACTTCAATTGCTTCTGAATGAGAAAAGTTTAGAATGTGCAAGACAGGGAGACAAAATTGAGCGGCTCCAAGCTCAAGCTCTCGACTATACTGCTGAAATAACAACCTATCACCAAACCCTTGAACAGTACAAGAAACAAATTGATGAACGACAGATGAAATGTTCTGAGGATTTGGCTCGCAAAGATGCAAATCATCGTGCTGAAATTGCACTCTTGAATGGTCGCATATCTGAACTTCAAGAAGCGCATTCTCGTCAGCTTCACAGTATGCACCAAGACCTAAATAGGATGAAACAGAAACAGATGGAAGAACTAGCAACAATGCAACTATCCCATGAAAATGAAGTGAATACTAGCAAAAGAGATGCTGAAAGATTCCGAACTGAATTAAGAGAGAAAAACAGCTTATTAGTCCTCCAGGAACAGCAGCTCAGTGAAGAAAAGAAATGGAGTAGGTCATACAGCCAGAAGGTCGAGGAACTGGGTGAACAGCTGAATCGAGAAGAACATAATAATGAAAAATATAGAGGAAAGGTAGAGTCCCTTGAGCAACAACTTCAAGAGATTGACCAGGCATGTACTTTATATCAACCCCAGATTGAAATGTTGCACCAACAGTTAAAAGATGAACGTCAGAAATGCACCAACCTAATGAAGCAACTAGAAGATGTTCAGAAACAATTGAAGGTGGAGCAGGAGAGATGTAAAGCATACAGTGCCAGTGTAGATACGGCCAATACTAACATTAGGGATCTGGAAAGGAAAAATGCAGAGATCAAAAGCCAAGCTTCAAAGCTTGACCAAAATGCAAAACAGAGAATTGTAATGGAAGAACAGAAAAATGCAACTCTTGAAGTAGAAATTGTGAAACTAAGAGAGTTCCTTAAAGGAGAACAAAATAGAAATACTTCATATCAAAGTGAATTTGAAGCCTTAAACCAGAAAATCAAAAACTACACAGCTCTCGATGAAAATTATAAAGAGGTGCTTTTGTCATTAGAAAACGAAAGAGCTGTGGCCTCTAGGTACCTCTGTGAAATAGATGCACTTCATCAACAACTTGAAGATCAAAATCTTAAATTCACTAGTGATAAAGAAAAGTTAGAGCTTCAGATTCAAGCAAATCAAACTTCCTTGGACCAATCTGAAAAGAAAACAGAGGACCTAAAAAGGCAGCTGCTTGCTCTGCAACAGAGTCATTTGGAGGAAAAGTGGGACTTGGAAAAGCAAGTGAATGATTTATTGCAATCAGCAGAGCAATGCAAATGCCTCAAGAAGCACACAGAAAGTCTAAATGAGATAGTAACCCATTCTCTTGATGCAGAAAGTCAGGCCAAAGAGCATCCTAAGGTTTCTTATGAACAATTGTGTGCTTTGGAGGAAAAGCTAAAATTGCTCTCTGATGCTAACACACACCTGACAGAAGAAAGAGAACGGTCAGAAATGGAATTGAATGAAGTGAAAGAGCTGTATGCCACTTCTAAAGAAAACTTTGATAAAATGTCAAATGACTTAAAGACGGAGTTGGCAAGAAAAGAAACTGACATTGTTAAACTACAGGCACAGCACAATGAAACTTTACTGCAAAGGAAAGTTGCGAATGAACAACTTAATGAACTTGTGTCTGTCAAAGCTCAGTTAGAAAGGGAGCTTATTTCTGTTAAAGAAAATTATAGTAAAGAAGTATCAACGTTGAGTTGCAGGGTACTTGAACTAGAGAATAAATTGAAAGCCACTAACGAAAATGTGGGTGAAAACACCATAAAATGTCTTGTTAAAAAATGTCATGCGGACATTTCATTCTTACGGTCTCTGTGTGCATCGAATAAACGTGAGCAAGATACTTCTTGGGTGGATAAAGCCACTAATTCCATGCAATTGTTGAAAGGTGACTTTAATTGTGACTCAGTGGAAATCACTGGGCTTATGGCTCTTGATAACCTTTTGGACCACTGTGAAAGATATTCCAGTGAACAGAGGATGGGAATATGCCCAAGTGAAAGTCCAGTTGAACAACTGTACAAGTCGCTTCTCACTGTAGAAAAGCTCAAAATAGAATTAAACAGACAAAAGACACAGATTGATAATTTAAAACGGGAATGTAATCATTTGCCATCTTCAAATGTAGATTCCAATTTGTCACAAGCTGGGTCTCAACACCCCTCAAAAAAGGTGTCTAAAATTGTGTCATGTTGGGTTGAACAATGTAGGGATTTAGAGAAAATTAATGAACAACTGAAATGTGATGTGTGTGAATTACAAGTAAAACTTAAGGAAGCAGAAACCAAAATGTCTGTAAGTGAGCAAATTGCTAAGAAAACATCTATCAGTGTTTCTGGAGATAAATGCAGTTGTGAGATAAAATATCAGGAAGAAAGAAATCTTCTCAATAACTCTATTGAGGCCTTGCAAAACGAACTCCATGACAAAGAACTGAGCTATGAAGAGAAAATGAAGAGTATAATTGAAAAGAGCAAAGACCCAAATCAGTCGTCTAAAGGCCTCTCCAATTTGATCAATGAATTTTCATCAAAGGGTAAAGAAATTATCCGACTGCAAAATGAGCTTAAGAAGAGCCAGCGACATTGTCAAGTTCTTTTGTGCGAGAAAAGACATTTGGAAGGACAGGTTGAGAAAACACTATTTGCTTTAGATGAATCTTGGCAAACTTGTAAATCTCTTGAGGCAGACCTGTATAAGGTCTTGAAGGACAAAAGCATTTTTCAGTCAAGACTTATGCGCCTTGAAACACTCAACAAAAACGTCAACAAGAAAGAAGTCTCTTCAAATGAAATGGTTTGGCAGCTCATTGAAGAACTTTCAGCAGCAGCTGCACATGACCAGAGACCCACCGAGGTACTGCAGGATAACAATCAAAGAGTTACAGCTATAGAAAAAATAGAATCTCTAAAAAAAATAATTAACAAGATGAATTCTGACTGTGAATCACTGCTTGTGAATCTTCAAAAGAAAAATGACAAAGCTGCTGCTCTTAGCTATCTTCAATCTGAAGCTTTAGGACTTCGAAGAGTGCAAGCTGCATTGCTTGAAATTGAACAAACCATATTGAATAGGTGTGGACCTGCTATTCAATTGCATGTGGACCTACTGAAACAACAACTTCAAGAGAAACAAGTTAATTATCAAGATATGTGTGAGACTCACTACTCTTTGGAGGCTGAAATGAGAGAAATGGAGGAATGTTTCCAGCAGAAAGAAGAGCGTTTGCAAGGGGAACTGAGTAAACATAAGGCTACTGCTAAATATTGGCAGATGAAAGCTCAATCTAGTGATGCTCAGCTTTCTACCTTACGTCTGATAGAGCAAAGTCATCACGAAAGCTTCTCAGAAATACTTGTAGAAGTAGACTCAATGTATACTCAGGCATTGAGTATATTGAATGAAGAAGTAGAAAGAACAGCAGCAATTAGAGAGGCAAAAGTAAGAGCAGAAATGTCAGAAAAATTTGCCTCTGCGGAAAAGAAATACATGCAACGATTTGATGATCTTAGTAAACAAATTAAATCTGAAAGCAATGTGAAGGCCCTGCAACTGTGTCATGAGCAGGAAATAGAGGCAGTACTTGCTAAGTGTGAATATGTTCGGTACAAAGACATTCATAAGCTGCAGGAGACATCTTGCTCGTTTTTGAAGCATCCCCTTCTTACTAAAATTGATGCATCTGCTAGTGAACTATCATATTTATTGATGAAACACAACCTGTCCTTGCAGTACAAGTTGTGTCTGGAAAGGGTATCATCTTCTTTGCAAGGTGAATTGGAAAAAGAATTTACTTATTTAGAAGAGAAGATAGGTAGTTCTTCTACAAATGATTGCCCAGATTTGAGTTCGACTGCACCTATTTTGTATGATGAAACTTGCCTCAGTAGTTTAGAGCAACTTGTCTTAAAATGTAACGAAATGTCTGAAAAATTACTCGAAATGCAGACAGAAGGTTTGCAATCCTTGTTGTCTACTTTTAAAGAGCACCATGAAGTTATAGTTGGAAAATTCAGAAGTATGACAAATGAACTTAACTCACTTTGTGATATTAAGAATATTCAAGAAGAGTTGGCTAAAGTTAAGGAAGAGCATCAACTGGCTCTTGAAAGCTTGTGTGCAAGTCATAAGGCTGAGGTGTGTCGTCTTCGAGTGCTGTCTGAACAGAATGACATTGATTCTTCAGAGACAAATGAGACAGCTTTGAACGTACTTCGAAGAGAGTTAGAAGAAAAACATAAAAAACAAATGGAAGAACTGCGAACATACTTTGAACAGAAGTGTGCAGATTTTGAAAAGCATTATTCGGAAGAAGTGTTTAGTCAACATAGTAGGAAACTTTCTGACTGCAGTTCTGCTTCTGAGTCAGAGTTGGTTTCTGAAATGTATTATGCAGGGCCTGGATCTTCTTCTTGCACCGGTGCTGCAACTACACCCCATTTTTGTGACATGCTGGGAGAATGCAGTTTCAAAGAACTTGAAGAGAATACCAGAGCAGTTGACTTAGAGAAGCTTTTTGTTGATAATAGGGAGCAAATAGAGACCATGCGGTTGGCTTTGGAGAGTCGTCATCAAGGAGAATTAGAGGCCCAGAAAGAACTTTATGAAGCAAAAGTGGAAGAATTGCTACAAAATATGAATGAGAGTCATTCACTGGAACTGAAATTGCAAAGTAAACGTTTAAATGAGATGCAAGATCTAGAGAAGTCACTAACTATTAAACTCTCTGCAGCTGAAAAAGAAATTTTGCTGTTGAAAGAACAAATATCATCCTTTGGAAAACCAGAAGTGCTTGAGCAACTCGATGTCAAAATAAGTGAGCCACAGAAGGATGTTCACAGAACCTTACATGAACTTGAAGCGGAATTGCAATCAATGTCAAATACTCTAAAGCGGAAAGAGTCTGAAAGTTCTGCCCAGATTGCCTCACTGAAGATAAAATTAAGACAAAATCTTGAAGTGACATCAAAACTTGAAAAAGATATGTCGAACCTTCGGTCCAAGTATGACTCAGAGGCTCAATCCCTCTCAGCTGTAATTAATGACAAAATCAAGACTATTGAGGAACTGAATCTTAAGATCCATGAACTATCTTCGAAGCTTCTGGAAAGTGACTCTCTTCGGAAACAATTTGAAAGTGAACTAAAGAGTACGTGCACTCAAATGCAAAATGACTTTGACAGTATTCTCAGAGAAAAGAATGAAGAGTATAATAGTAAAGTAAACAGATTGCAATCAGAATTGGAGAAGAAGCATCTTGCAGATATTCAAAAGGAGGCCCTTGAAAATGAACACATTTTGACAGAAAAAGTTAACAACTTGGTTGAGGAAAAGAAGAGATTGCTGGAAGCGGAGTATTCTGAATATTTGGAATTTGTTAAAAAGTGTGCAGATGACACAAAGATGAAATTAATACAGCATCATGAGGAGGAAAAAAGACAACTCTGTGAGAATCATAAAAAAGAGATAATTGAACTTAGTAAATCACAGCAAACTAATCACATTTCGGAAAGCAAAATTGCAGCATCACAGAGTAGTTTGCAAGTTACACTCTGCAATGAGGGCTTGATCAAAGAGTCTGCTCTTAGTAATTGTTTGCAGGAGTTGCTGAAATTATCTTCTGAAATGCCTTTAAACCAGCAGCAGCATCTGGAAAAAATAATTTTGAAGTTATGTCGGGAAGAAGTAATTCATCAACAAAAATTGCACCAAGAGTTAGAATCCAGACTTGAAAGTGTCCAGAAAGACTGTGAAAGACGCTTCCATTTGCAACTGGAAGAAGCAAGAGCTGACATTGTCAAGGCTCTTGAGCAGCAAATTCAACAACTTCTGGATGACAGTACTGATACTATGGATAAACCAGTTGAACTTCAACAATTAGAAAAGAAATTTGCTCATAAATACCAGCAGAAACTGACTGACATGCAAAACGAATATGAAGCCAAAGTCTCTGTGCTTTTATCCAAACATGCAGCACAATTATCTGCTGCCAGGAACAAGAATCAGAAGAATAATGGGATTACATCTGAAGATTTGGAAAACTTATACAAGGAGAGAGATTGCCTGCGAAATGTTGCCGCGACTTTGCGTGATGTTGTGGCTGAACTTGTTAGATATTTCTTGTCATGGGAGGATGATTTTAATAACACTTTAATGGATGAACTTGCTAAACTAGAGTCGGTAAAAGACAATGATATTCTGTCAATTACCAACCAGGATGATAGTATCATTTTAGAACAGTCACACAATGTGTCGGAAAGAGATTCTACTGCTAGTGATGATGAAATACCTGTCATTGTTGCTACCCCTGCTAAAGGAAGAGAGCCCTCTTCTTTTGTAAAACGAGTTCATTTCGCGCCAGATGTTTCTGGAATTCTATCTCTCCTTGATGATGGCTCATTACTTGATGGTGTTGGCCTAAACTGTAGCATCCGAGATGCATCATTGAATTTTCAAGAAGAACTTGATCGCTGCTTGGCCCGACTTCGGAGCGACTCTGCAGCGTTATATGCCTTGTCCAAACCAGCTTTGTCTAGTGTTGTGCCCAAACAGCAGTGCGTGCCTTTGCCTTCTGAAGATGAGGCCACAGAAAAGCTCTCTGAAAAATTGTCCGAAGCCCTGCATCGTGCTGAACAGCTTCAGAGAGAAAATGAGGGACTTCAAAGTCAGATTTATACTTTACAAGAGGAACACAAAATGTCTGTTGATGAACTAGAGGCCATACGTGAGCGCCTTACTAATTTTGAACAAGAGGCCCGGCATCAAGCAGAGCTAGTGGCTGAGGGCTACGGAGAAGGGGAAAGGTCAATTACTTGCGATGTTCCAAGCAGCCCGCGTGCTACCACTGTTGGAGAACTCCAAAGCAAAGGTAGTTTTGTCAATAAATTTTAGAAACTACTGAAACTTGCCCTGTACTTTTTAATTGAGTCATGTTAAATTTTTTCATATTGGTTTAGCACGAGCACTTCTATTGGGAGAAAGCAATGTTGAAGAGGGGTCTGGAGTTGTTTCTCCTAACACAAGCCAGCTTTTGCCCCATGTTGTAGAGGAGCTGTGCAGAGACTGGGAGCGCTTGGCTGAAGATTCGAAACACAAACAAGAGGACCTCCAGCAACAAGTAAGTTCTCTTCTATTAGCATTTTCATAAAAAATAAAAGCATTTCTTTAAAATATTTTTTTTCCGCTGATATACAAGGTTGAAGCAGCGGACAAACAATTACGTGCCTCAAGAACCTTTATGGACGAACAAGCAGCTGAAAGGGAGCAAGAACGAGACGAATTTGTCCAAGAAATCACGCGATTGCAAGAATTACTGCGAGACAAAGATCGCGATCGAACTTCTCATCAACATATGAATCACGAGGTACACTTAGATATTTCATTTTGTTTATTTTTTTCCTTTCACACAAGGTTTAGCTACTGTCTCTATTTTGAGACATTCTTTCTTCTCCAAGCAATTTCAACTAACTGGCACCAAACATACTAGCACCTTGGGAGTATGAATGACTGTAAACCCACAGTGGGGAAGGCATGAAACATAACGAGGCTGAGGCCTGTAATCCAACTGCATGTTTCAAAGTAATTCTTGACGGGCATATTTCATCAATTCTGGATCTCAAAACCATTTTTCTGCGAGCTTTGCTGCACTTGTAAGCAGGGCTATTTCTCAATCGCAACACTGGAAATTTCCTTTATTTCTTAGCTTGTTAAGGTTCTTTCATTTTGAAATTTGAGAGGTTTTATTTATTGCCGCCTAAGACAAACTATACTTTTATGCACCTACAGTCTACTGATCTGAGTTGCATGCACCTGAAGCACCTAGGCCTAAGCACATCTGTCTCCGTGAGTGTCATAAAATTTCGTGTCTTTCTTGTTTTAATTTGTTGTAGCTTTATTGTTTAAACTGCTGGTGTTCTAGCTTTCCTTATAGTAGTTTTGTATTTTAATTTTAATACTGTGCATACTTTTTTGTTTTTAAATTCTTGAGTTTATTCGCGGGCAATCCATTAAATATATTTCCCATCTGCTGGTCTTTGCATGAATTGTTTCAGTATTTGTGATGGAATGTTTAGTCTATCATCTTGTACCTGTTTATCAAACTTGCCCTTTACATTTTGTAATATTTGTTCTTGTTTTACATAGGTTGAAACTTTGGAAAATCAACTTAAAGAGACTCAATTAACATTACAAGAAGCACGAGAAAAACTTGAAAAGCTCCAGGCAGAGCATAAACAAGCAGTTGAGAAGGTGACATTTCATGTGTTTTTAGTGCTTTTATTAAAAAAATGGGTTTGTAGTGTCTTATTGAATCTTTCCCTTCCATCTGTTACTTTTGAAGATATGGACCTTACGAGATATAATCAGTGATTTGGAAGTGCAAGTTGCTTCGAAAGCAGAAGAAGCTGCTTCCGTGTCTGCCCAAAATGCCGCCCTCCAACAAATGGTGGAACAGCAAGGTCGCACTCAGTTAGAACTTGCTCAAGAAGTATGTCATTTTTTCTCTAGTAATAGTGTGTCTTAATGACCTTCTGACTGTAGTGGCTCTAAAGTGCCCAATCTTATGTTCTTTTATTTAATTCAAATTTCAATTTTTACTTTCAGATGGAAGAAATCCAGTTGTGTTCAAACAATGGAAAACTTGCAGAACAAATTTCTCAGTTAGAAGAACAGCTTAAGAAGCATCAAATGCTGGCTGATCAGTTAGGTGATCCTAATGTCATTGAACATATGAAAAACCAGGTATGTCCAGAATGTATTATTTTTAGTCTATTCCTTTATCTGTAATTACACTGCTTAACAGTCATGAAACTAAGCCTTCCCTATTTTCAGCTCCGAGATTTAGGCATGTCATTAGAGCTGCACACTCGAGAATTGGAATGTGCGAATGCTTCCAATGCCTTACCTGCCAGTCCATGCTTAAGCTCACCTTCAGAGGATGTTTCAATTCGTGAAACATTGTGGGCCATGCGGTGTGCCAACGAAAATAAAGATGGTTCTCACAGTGCAGATCCCTGTCTAGCCTTACCTCTTTATGAGGTTTCCGTTGTAATGGAACAGTGGCAAAAACATGCAAGAGCTGATGATGCTATTTTAAAGAAGATCCGTGAGATAGATGTGCATGTGGATGACATGCACGCTGAGAAAGATGCACTAGTTTCCCGACTTCAAGAGCAAATGCAACTGTCATCATCTCTTCAATCAAAATTGGACGAATATAGATGTAAATCTGATGTCAAACTATCTCAAGCCACAACTGAAATGCAAAGCCAGATTGAGGATCTAAGAGTTGAAATTCACAATTATGATGAGACGCTTGAATCTAGAGAAAAGCAGGTTTGTACTATCTGAATTACTATACTAATAGTCATTTTTATTTTTGTAAAATTGAGTTACATTGGAAGTACTATGTTGTATTTTGCAGATAGAAAATTTGAGAATGTCTCTTCTTCGGGCAGAAAATGAACTGCGGACAAGAGATGCCGAAATAAGGAAAAGTGCAGAAGCAGAGCGCAACATAGCTGCTCAGTTGCAGTTGCAAGTCTCAAAACTAAGTGCAGATAAGAATAAACTTGAGGTGAGCCATAGCTTGTGTTGTGTTGTGTTTTTTTTTGTTTTTTTTTGAGCATGTCGTTTTTAACATATTAGTGTTTCTGTTTGTTCTAATCTTCTCGATTTTTGTATGCCAGGCAATGCTTTCAGAAAAAAATGCTATGCATGTTAGCTTACCTGCACTAGTTGAATCTATGCTTGTAGACAAAAATGATGACATTGACAGATTAGAAAGACAAGTGCAGCATCTTTCTAAACAGGTAATGTGTTGCTATTTTAACTTAATGTTCCATTTTGCATTTGACAGGCGATGTAACACATGTTTCTTTTCTAAAATAATTATGAATCACGTGTTTCTTAAATCATCTTGTGTCAGTTCTTGAAAGGTCAATCTAGAAGGCTCTTTTTTTGTTGGAGACATTGTTACCTTGCGATTCCCCACCTAGGTTGGGTGTCAAATTTTCAAAGGCATCTTGATTGATTGACTGACTGATTCTTCTCAGTGGATTTTTGCGTACTCTTTTCTTGTAGGATTGATCTTGTATTCTACAGTCTTAGATGTTTACCACTTTCATTTGCTTTTGTGCACATCACTACGCTTTCTTTTCTCGTGATATTGCTTTGTTTTCATAGATTTATTGTTGTTTTCAGATGGAATTAAGTAGTCATTATGTTGCAACACCTAGCACCACATTAGAATTTGAATACTCTGAGTCAGAGAAAGTACGTGCACATGTTGAACTGTCACCTGTTTTGCATCTTAGAAGAAGTGTCAACTTGTCGCCAATTAATGTATGTGTCAGCCCTATTATTGTCATTTGGTTGCCATTGTCTATCAATAGTTTCAGGAAAATTACAAATTCTAATCAATGTTGTACAGGAAAGCGTGTGTCGCCAAAGTGATGTCCACCCAGATGAGATTTCTGTCCCATTTGGAGCACAGCAAATGTCCTTGGAAAACAATAATCCTGAAATAGAAGTCAGTCTGAAGCCTATACCCATAGAGGAGGAAATGGTAGGTTCAATTCCTGCAAAAGACATCGACAGTGTTTGCGTTGTTGTTCCATAAGTTTTTGCTCTTAAAGAACATACTGAAAAACTGTTAGGTACACACAGGGAAAAAATAGTCCGAGATTTCTCATTCTTTTATTGTTTTCAGATACATTCACAGCAAAACCCAAGCAATGAAAGTATATCAGAAATTCTTAGCTCTTCTGCTGATACTTTCAATACTTCAAGTCTCTCTAGTTGTGAGAAAAGAGTTGCAACTCTTGAGGAGGAATTAGAAGAGAAGAACAAGCTCATTGCTAATTATGAGCAACAGATTCAGGAGAACGCAGCGATACTTTCTGAAATGGAGCAGAAATGTAAAGGCTTGGAGGATTGTGAGAAAAAGTTGCTGGATATGGTCAATTTAGAAAAAGAACTGTCAACAGTCAAAACAGAATTGGCAAAAACTCGCTTAGAATTATCAGATAAAATTCAGCAATCTGATGTTCAGTCAACTCAAAAACCCACTGAGGTTTGTTCATGAAACTACTCATGTGATTTTTTAGGGTAACATATCACAATCATTACTACATTGTCACTGCACTGTCATATTCATTTTACAGCTTGAGGCAAAAGAATCTGAGATTCAGCGACTTAAAGATGAAGTTGGTGCTACTCAAACCATTCTGGCAAATTTGCAACGGAAAGTTCAAGAAGCTAAGCAAATAGCTAGATCTCCTAATCGTTCCTCTCCAGAAAAGAACCAGGTAAGTTAAATTTTCCAAAGATACGGTACTATCTTAAACACTAAACAAACTGCAATACTTTTGATTCCTTTCTTGGTGCTTCTTCAGGCCTTACAAGCTGTGCAGAATGAACTTGAAACAGCAAAACAGGAAATTGTCGAGTTGAAAGATTTATGCACATCAATCCGATCAGAAGTTGAAGGAGAGTTTCTTCAGAAGCAGGCTCAATTTGAAATTGTGCTTAATCGTGAACAGCAGGCTAAGAAGTCACTTCTAGAAACTTTAGACAAGATGCAGAAAGAAAAGAACGAGCTAGAGCAAGAGACCAACAAGACAATTCTAATCAAATTAGAGAAAGAACTCAAGGAGACAAAAGATAAATTAACAGAGATATATGAAGATAATGCTAAACTGCAAACAGAACTGAGCCAGGTTAATATGGAGTGTGTCACTCTGAAACAACAGCTAAGCACTCCCATCAGAGAGGCAACTTCGCTTGCCCATAAATTGGAGTCAGAAAAGAAATTTTCAGATACTCTGAAGGAAGAGCTTTTGTTATTCAAAACTAAAGCCAGTTCTTTGGATGAGGAATGTCAATCCCTGAAAGAGCAAACTAAGGTCCTTCAGGAAATGTTAGACTCAGGAAAGAAGAATTCTCAAATAACCAGTGAGAATGAAATACTTTTGAAAGATATTTCCCATTTGAAAACAGAAATTGAGTCACTGCTTCAGGAGCTTAAGGGCTACAAAGACATAATTGATGAACTTTCGCACAGAAATGCTGTCTTGACAGAAGAAAATACTGATGTAGGGAAAGAGCTATCAGATATGAAGCAAATTATCATTGACTTGCGTGGAGAAAAAACTTCGAGGGATGAAACTCAGAGAGAGCTGCAGTCCAAACTACACGAATTGAATGAATTAAAAATTCAGAAAGATAAATATATGAAGGAGCTCTTCTCATTGAGACAAGGACTGAATAACATTCACTCTGACACCAATGATTTATCTGGATTAACTTCGGAAGATCATGCCATTTTACACAACCTTCAGAAATTATTGTTCACCAGAAAACATAGGGGAGAGGGAGATGGCCCGTGGAACAGGTTGTCTTTTACAGAGACTGACATTCATGAGATTCAGCCGGCAAATTCTCCAGGTTTGTATTTTTGTGTTAATATAAAGAATAATTATTAATATACCTGTGACCGATATTTCATCAGACTTTATTCTCCTTTTACACTCTAGAATCTGAGTTGCTTGATGATCTCACGGATTTAGTTCAGCATGAAGTTGATGTATCAGTGCAACTGGATCAATCTTTACTCCAAACAATAAACCCTCACAAAAAAGAAGAGGTATTTGTCTTGTGCTCTACTTATTAAATTTGACTTATTAGGAGTAGGTTTGTTACATAAATTTTATTTTGTTATAGGTGTCAGTGGCTGAGAAAATGGAAAAGCAAGCTGATCAAGGTGAAAAATTTAAACATTTGTTACTGTATTTTGCTTTCTTTGCTCTTTGTAAACTAACTTTTAATTATCTTGAATTACAATTGCAGCGGTATTTGGCAGAAGTCAAGATGCACGTGAGATTCAAAGCCAGAAAGTTAGGTATGAGATTATTATTGTTATTTCTTTCATGGAAGGTTTAAGTTGACACTGGACCAAAAAATAGACTGAAAGTTTTGTTTTCTGAATACAGAGAAACTGAAGCACAGGATAAGATTTCTCAGCTGGAGAAGGAATTGTACCACATGCAATCTTCAGTCAATTTATTACATGCTAAACTTGAAGCCGAGCGAGCACAATACTGCACATTGCAGCAACAGGACTGTGTCCTGATAGAGGTGAATCACAGTTTCAATCAAATTATGGCTTCCATGTCAATTTGATATGGATAATTCATACTTTCCTTCATTTTGATTTAGCAAATGCGGGTGAAACTTTCTGAAGCTCTTGATGGTCAAGCCAGGTTACAGATGCAATTACAATCTGAAAAAAGCAAACAGCATTGTTTGTTTAAGGACACCAACGTTAGTAATTCAAAATACTGTTTTTACAACGTTTCGTTTTTTCTGTTTGGAAAGTTGGGTAGAGGAATGGATATCTAACATTTTTTTACTTTCTTATGTTGTATAGCAGGTTTCAAATCAATCATCTAAGCCTCTATCTGACAAAAATAGTGACGAACTTCAAGAACAAGTAAGTATTGTGAACCTCTGCTCTGTGTCCTCTGCTGCACAGCCAATATACTGACATTGAATATTTTTTATTGTCTTTTATAGCTGAATGCAGCTAAATCAGAGCTGGCAAGACTTCAGTTAGAGAAAGATGCATCAGAAAGGCAGATAAAGAGGTTGCTAGAAGCTGAAATTCAATGGAGTCGTAGAAGAGCTCTTACGGAAGAAAAGCATAGGCGTCGTATTGATCAATTACAATCTTTACATGTAAGAATTTGCTGGTGTAGTCTTTCTTTCTCATTTCTCGCTACTTCTCAGTACTGAACCATTACTTTTTTTCTCTGCGTAGGCTGAAACGCAACAAGAATGTTTGATGTTACGGCAAGAACTGTCAGCTTTAAATCAAAAGCTCCAGGTCGCTCAAGAGGAATCTGCAAAGGATTTAGATGCCCAGCTGAAAAATCATACGCCTTTTGTAGAGAGACTCAAGGTAAAATCCGCAACCTTATACTTTGTTAGTATTTAACATAATTTTATTCATTTCATTTATCATTTTTGTTGAAGAATATGAACGCCTTCCTTGAAGAACACATTGAAGAAAATGTGAGGATGGCAAATGAAATGGAAAAGTTGATAGATGAGCATAGAAAGTTACGAAGCCGTATTGCTCAGCTAGAAGGTCAACTTGCTGATAAGAGAAGTAATGAAAGTTTTGAAGCAGCCAATGCCAGATTTGCTGCTGAAAGAGCTGGGTGGGAGGCAGAACAAAAAGCGTTGCTTCATGCATTGAATGAAGCAAAACAAAAGCAACTACTGCTTCCCGATTCTGATGTTGAAGAGAGAGTGAGTAAAATTTTTCTGTTTTATAGCGTGTTTCACAATCTATCATAATAATTAATTGGAACCTCTTGAATACAGGTGAGTCATTTGTTTGGGCGCTACCTGCGTATGCAGAGCTACCGAAAAGCCTTGGTGTGGCAGAAGCGGTATCTTCTCTCAGTGATATCTGGACTAAATGAATCAAAAACATTGGCAGCTTCACATTTAACCTCTTTTGGTGGAAAAGCGAAGGAAAAGACTAGTACATCTCGTCAAAAATTCAGGTAAGGATAGTCTAATTCTACTTATAGTTACTCACTACCATAAAAGCTGCTTTAATGGAAAGCGTCTTGGCCTAAGGATTGATTTAAGCTGGTGTTCCATCACAAACTCAAAATATGTGTTTTTGCAGATCTGCTGTACTGGTGATAATTGCTCTTCAGCGTATGAGATTTATGGTTGAGAGGTGGCTTCGTGGGAAGCGTATTGGCTGCGGAGTTGTTGTCCAGCAAACTCTTTCTCAATACACTTTCACATCAGGTATTTTTTTACTGCTTTCATTCTAATGAGGCTCGCTGAGGAAGGGAAATTCTCATTTATTTGTTCCATTGTAGGTAAACAGCCTACTTTTGCTGGAACTCGGGTTCCTACAGATGAAATGCGCAGTGGGCTATCACAGTCACCTCCTACCTTAGAAAGACCAAGACAGTCACGTTCTCAGCCTTCAGAACATCCCCAACTTCCAAGGTGTGTTGCATTCTTTTATTAATTTTGTGCTCTGTGTACACTTTTTTGAGTTCAAAATTGTTTCTTACTGTATTAAATGTGGTTCTTAGGTACCTAATTTGGTTATTTGACTAATGTTTATACTTTTGCAGATTTTCAATGACGAATAGAGGCTATGGATCAAGTACTCTTTCAGAGTGTGTTACAAATTTCCATTTGGTTCAACAGCGCTTTGACGCCCTCTTATCAAATCCACCTAAATAGTAAAAATATTTGCAAATTTGAGTTTTTTGTTGCCTAATCCAATGCTGTTTGTCACAGTGCATATTACATTAAAACTACTGATATAATGCCAACATGATATTGAGGCTAGTCACTTCATGCCATTTGTTTGTAGAAATTCACATTTTTTATTAGTAGTATTATTTTACATGAGTATTTTTCATTTTGCAAACATTGTTATGAACATTTGTCAGGCAAATTGGTTATTTGTCAACTTTCTAATTATAAGTGATGATGGGACAATTTTCTCCTTAACGTGGAGGTGGAAAGAGGAAATTGCAGTTGTTAAGGGGCTGCAATCAATTGTGATACTGAAATTTAATAGAGTTGAAGGTTATACCAGTACGTGTTCAAGAACCTTCTTGAACTTTGTTTGATATGTCCTTTCTTTCTATTTGTTTTGTAGTATTATTTATTACTAAAATAATAATTTTTGTGTGTGTGCCTTCTGTTTTTGACAGCAACTTATTATTTTTTAAACTACTGTATTCACATTAAGACTGCAATTTTGTTTAGATACTGGCAAGCATAGGCTGCATTGTGATGAAAATAGTGTACCTGTAGCGTATTGTGCGTACATGATTGTCAAACATTTTACTGTCCACAAAATGAAGATTCCAAATTAAAGTGTGGCCAAGAACAAACCATGTTAGGTTTTCATTCTTGGTTTGTCTTTTTAAGTTGGAGATCATGTAGAAACGTTATTTCATTGAGATAAGCCACTTTTTGTTGTCATGTTTTTAATTTGTATGAAATAAGTTTATGGTTGTAGCTATTAGATGTGAAACACTCCACATTTGGGACACTCGCATGCTGAGTTATTGTATTAGTTTATTTTTTTGAACTCTCTTGGACGTTTTAATAAAGAAGTGTGAACTGACTTACTTAGAAGTACTGGTTTTTATTTCTACTAGTCCTATCCTCGCAATTCCCATTATCTAAATCCTTCTGCTTAGTGCGGCTAGAATAACATATGAGGAGTGTACTCCTCTGTGCCTGCCTCAAAGGCTCAAGTTACCACGACCCACCAAAGTTGTCTGTGGGCGTGGAGTTAAGAGTTCTAAATCCATGGTGTGGGGAAATGGGTACAGCACCCCATGTTATTTGTTAAGAAAGCAAATGAGATTTTTGTTTTCATTATTTAATAATTAGGAATACATAAAGGGAGAGTGAGAGTCTGGACAGAAACTTTAACATCCATCATCACAGCTCCTCAAGAGTAACATAACATCTGTACATTGTATGATCTTCACAATGAGATTATAAATGGCATCAATATTTTATACTTACAACAAATAAAACTCTTTTAAAAAGTTTCACACAGCAAATTTGAATTTGAAGAGAGGACTCAATTTAAATATTTGGTCACAAATAAAAAGTGATTACCAACAAGCTATGCTTGCCTGAGGGTATAACAGACATCAAAAGAAGTTTCACAAAGAAGGAAAAAAAAAAAAAAAACAAGATGGAAACACATTACCATTGATGGTAAACAGGTACCCACATAAATATGTACAAACAAGAACAAACAAAAAGGTTCGGAACAACATTGTACCTAACTTAAAAATGATACAAATAAACAAGTAACCAAGTTCAATCAGTTTGTTTTAAATACACCTAAAATCAGATGGATATAACTCGCTTTGGCGCAATGATCCAATCAATGAAAACTAATTAAGATGATCCTGATGGATAAACAAGGAGTGAAAATGGTAAAGTCAATGATAATTCAAATGCGTGCAGTGGATTTACTGAACCGGTTGGAGTGATACAACATCAATTCCAAAACCCACAACCTACTTTAAAACAAACCTTCACCTCATCGAAATTTGTTACTTGAAAATGAGCAATTAAGTGGAATTTGACAGTATTTGGGGTGGTACAGTGAGAGAAAGCTACTATGGAGATTATGTACAATGCCTGAGAAAAGAGCAAGGCTACAACAATCTAGTCTAAGATAAAATGAAATATTTGGATTAATTTTGGTTTCTTCTCACAATCTGACAAGAGCTGATTCACTTTCATAGAATCAATAGTAAATAAGATAAAAAGTTTCTTTTTCTCCAACAAAGAATAAAATTAAAAAATGTACAACATAAAAAGAGGAAGAAAATCACATCTTGTACTTTACAAAAGTATGTTTGAGTATAAACATGGGTATAAATTACTTCTTGGTCCAGTAAAGGGCTAATATATACTTTATTTTAATATTGAACCTTCTAGCAGTTTTCAATTTTTTAAATACTATTCTGTACAAAACAAGTCCACATGCACGTGAGCGGACCAACAAACCCACTCCTCCTTGTCCTTCTGTCTGACCGTCAGTCTGTCAAGTCTGTCCAACTTTCTAGCAAAATTTGAATCAAGTTCTTCCAATGCAATAAAAGAGGGGCAGCTATTTATTTTAGCACAATAATGTTGCACCTGGCATTTGATATGATATTACAAAAATAGCCCTTAAGACAGACTTTACTATGGCTTTAAAACGAAACAAAGAGAACAATAAGCTGGCATGACCAGCATTAATTATCTTGTTTCTTGGGTGTTATGGCATGGTCTAAATTCAAAATATGAAGACCAACTAACACATTTCATAAAGAAACTAGGAATATTTTCTAAAGGTACAACAATGATTTTTAAACACATTTTCACTTCTAATACATTTATTAAGCTAAATTTAGCAACAGAAATTTAACTTTTGTTGCTGCTCTGTGGACATAAAGGGCATTTTAACAACATGCAGAACAAAGAATAATGCAGATAAACTCGCAATTAACAGCAACATTTTAACATGAGCTGGTAAGCTATCCATTACCACAATCAAGATAATTTTCTTTTAGATTACATTAATAATAAATGGAATAATAATGTACACATAATTCTCATATTTTGGAATACTTAAACTGGGGAGGGAGGAGGGAGGGAGAAAAAAATTAACAAGTAAAGGACAGCCTACAAATTCATCTAAACTGCATAAAAAGTGAATTTAATCATACATACACATTACTCTGCTCATGTACCACCTAGTAATACTTAAATTTGTAGGAGAAAATTAAATGATTAACATTAAAGTTGAGACTCCACTTTAACCTTCTCAAACCTACATATTTTTTTCAGCTGCAGCAAACACGCCAACTAAGTATACATTCACAGAGGTGAGATGTCTACTACTAGAAGATGTGAAATTACAGAAAGTGTGAAATTTAAGTGTTAGGTTTCATTCACAACCACTCATTCTTTCTGATCAGTATCTCGCCACCCTCTTGTAGATGTGTAGTAAGAAAACAATTTCCATGGACAAAAAACAGCTGAAGCAGACGATGTCCATCAGAGATGCAACCACAACCATTTAGGTCTACCCTGAATTCATCTGCTTGTCTTCATCACAGCATGAACTCTACCCATTAAGGAGAGCGTTTCAAAGGGAAGCAGACAGTTTCAGGGCGTTGGCTATGTGGGTCTATTGGTCTGGTCCATGAGTCCTCAGTGACCAAACCAGTCTTACTTCACAGTTGAATAAGTTTGTGGTTGAGGATTCTGATTAGATGCTACCCATGAACTGAATACATCCCTGCGAAAGAAAAAAAAACATATAAATAAATTATATAAATTATGTATAAATTACTTCCTTGAGATAAGCTTCCAAAACCAAGTCATCAGCAAAAGAAATGTAACTTACCGACAATGGCTCACAACACACTCATTGCTGCAGTATTCATCCTCCCACTCACTGTTAGGAACAGCAACATTTGGACAACCGTGTCGGATGCACGTAGCTCTGTTTTGTTGATCTTGAGGTGCTGCAGGATCACAGGGTTGTTGAAGGTGTTGAGATTGAGGAGGCTGTGTAGGGGGTTGCTGCGAAGGGGGTTGTTGCTGTTGGGGAGGTGAGTGCTGTTGAGGCGATGGCTGCGGGCTAAGATGTTGGGGAGGGTGCTGCAGTTGCTGCAATTGGGGCTGCACATGCTGGGATGAGTGAGGGGGCATGGGCGGCAAGGGTTGAAGTTGTAGCGTTTGCTGAGGGGGCTGCTGCATGTAACCAACAGGACTCAGCTGCCCCATGTGGCCCATCGGCCCCATTGGTGAGCCCATCATTCCCTGCAGAGAGAATGAAATATAAAAATCAAACAGGTGTCATACATCAGCAAATGCACTCAAGTGCACTGCAAAATCATTGCTAAATTAACAGAACTGTAAGGAAAGTTACTCACTGATTGAGGTGGGGGCTGTTGTCTAGGTGAGTGCTGCTGTTGAGGGGAACCATTACTTTGTTTGTTCATTCCAACCATTTGATGCTGTTGAGGGGATGCCATAGGAGGTGATGACATTTGAGGGGCTGGTGGAGAATATCCAGTATATCCACCAGAGCTAGGGGGGCCACCATATCCTTGAGGTGGGTGGGATGGGTATCCACCACCATACACATTATTACTTTCTTGATCATTAGGTCCCTGCAAGGCAGCAGACAATACAATGTTAGTCACTCAACAACTAAGTAAGTGAGTACAAAAACTACATAAGAAACAAAAGAAAAAAAGTTCTACCTTGGACAAAAGACTAGCGCGGTAGGCTGCCAATGCTTTTAAGTAATCTTTTTTGGCGGCTTCTGTTCTTTTTTTGTAAACCTGTAACCAACAACAGCAGAGTTAGAAATGTTGTAAATAAAAAATGACAGACTAGCCTATTTAAGAGCTTTAAAGAGAGAAGCAATTGCCCTTACATTTTTGCTATCTGTATCCAATGCATCCCACATTGATGCAACTATTTTTGATACCTCTCCAAAGCTAGCATTAGGATTTGACAGTTTGATAGCTGCTTGCGTGTCTCTGAAGAACAAGGCATAAGCTGAAACAGGCCTGAAAAAGGAAAAAGAAACACAATGTTACTCAGACAGCTCACTAAACACAATTAACCAACAAACCACAAGAAAACAACAACAAAAACTTAAATAATATAAATTTGATCAAGTTCATAATACTGTGTACACACTCACTTTTGTGGTTCATTCGGGTCTCTCTTTTTCTTCTTTTTCTGAACTTTTGGCTTCTTTTGAAGTTTAGACTGGTCTACAGGCTCAGGGGATGGTCGCTTCACACCACCCATCTAGACAAGTAGAAATTATCCATTAACATGCAACTCAATAAGATGAAATGCTAACAATAAGTATGGGGAAGGCAGTTAGAATATAGTTTACTTTACTAACCATGGCAGCACTATCATCGCTATCTTCACTGGTAGTTGTGTTTGGTGGACTGTGCCCTGGAGCAGGAGCCGGCCGCCCATACTGCGGCACACCCTGCATGCCTGGCATCTGACCGGGCACGGGACCTACAGAGTGATTCATCAGCATCTGGTGGTGGTGCTGTTGCTGCTGTTGAAGCATTAACATCTGTCCGTCTTGACCAGGTATGTATCCCGCTTGGGGGCTTACATAAGAGGGACTGCTGGAAAAAGAAACAGTACATAGATTAACCTTCAGTGTACATACAAGTGAGAATTGCATCAATATGTTTACAATGATTACAAACCTAACACTGAGGCCCATTTGATGATCACTAGGGCCAGTGAGATACAGTGGCTGCTGGTACGAGGCATGCTCCTGTAATGACAGGCCATCGTTCATCTATTGAAAACAAAAAGAGCTGTGATTAGGACTAATACCAAGAGAAAGCAGGGCACTTTGGAGAAATGGCAGGAGACAAAATATCGTAAGCCTTGGGAAATCACATACCTGATGTTGGTATGACATGTTGGGATGACCAGGCTGGTGCGGACTATGAGCACCACCAGGTGGACCGCTATGTTGGCCTAAGGGTTGGCCGTGTCCAAGTTGGCTATGGGGTTGGCCGTGGTGACCTCCGTGGGGGTTGATGGGTGGGATATCAAACTCCTCGTCACCAAAACTAGGCGTATGAAACGTCTGAAACAGAGAAACAAAAGAAGAAAATTAATATTATGAAACTTCAAAACACATCCTGTCACAAAAGACGCAGAGGTCAAAGTAATGACCAGCTGGGAAGAATATATTGCCATACGCTTGCGGCAAAATTCAGAAGGTTTAGGAAAATACTCAACGCCTGCAAAGGAACGACAAAAATTAAACTAACCACCAGGGGTTGAAAAGCTGTACGTAAACATAACCTTAAAATTAACTACGGCGTACTAAATTGTTTAACAGTTAGGACACGATCAAGAAAAGTTGGATTGGTAGTACAAATCGTGAGTTACATATGACCACAAGTGACTATCAAAACATGATAAAACAACTCCAAAGTGATATTTTGAGAGAAATTGTGCCGGTACTCTTTACGAACGGGAGACGGGGACTCGCACCTGAGATTGGGAGGTTGGTATTTCAAGGTCTAACCAAAGCGAACGTCTCAACTACGCATGTGCGTGTTCGTGGCACTGCAAACTATGAAACAGACAAACGGATAAACGTTGCCGGTTCCGAGAGGGATCGAAATAACTGAAATATTCACGTCACGCGAAGGTGCCGCCAGCCATGTTTTCAAACAGTCACGGCCTTGTAGAGTTGTCGTCGTCGTTCGTCTCTTGTCAGCACTTCTCGCGCGCTGCTTTCGAAAGCGTGCAAAAGTAGCACGATCTCCTCGTGCCCAGCGGACTGTTTCCGAGAGTCGTTTAGGTCGCGCTGTCTCTCTCGTACTCTTGGGGCGTCCCGCATAGGCCAGAGGCAGAGCGACCAAAGCTGAAGAGGGTCACGTGGGGTTCAGCGTTTGCAGAGTTGCACTGCCACTGTTTTCTTTTCTTTTTTTCGCGGGGGCACGGGAACAAAGAGCAGCCATCCGGGTACATCCCCCCCCCCCAATTCGAACAAAGGGGATTCTTCCCCTCAACCCAGCCTCCCACCCTCCGGTGCAAGTGGTCGCTCCCCAAAGTCAACCGCTCGCAGCTCTGAGGAGTCGTGAAACATTCATCTAAAAAATGTCTTAGAGAAAACCGCGCTTTGGTGCGAATCCTCGTGCGAATCCCCGAGCATGGTCTCTAAGTCGGTCGGGGCCATATACAACACATGTGGGGCCGCAGGGAACAGATGGCAGATGGGCGCGCAGGTATCGGGTTAGTATCGCTTGATTTCAGAGGGGGAGGGGGGCGGGCGCCAGACCCGCCTCTTATGCCCCGAGGGCTCAGGCTAGCCCGGGCCGGCCGAGCCACGCGCCAGCTCAAGCCACGCGTGCTGAGACAGCATCCGGCATCATGCCTCATCATCGGCCAGCAGGCTCATTCCGCACATATCTCTCGCACTCGTGGCGCGTCCCGTAAGGGTGCGAGAGAGACAGGGCGACGAGCCCACTGCACTGCAGGTGCAGGTGGAGGGCGGCCTGAGGGCGGAGGGGACCATCCGAAATTGCTTCATTGTCCTGCTGGCCCATCGTGTCCTTGTCTCAGAAGAGCAGATCGTCGCTCTGTCTCTCTCCGCCTCACGCGGTGTCCCATGAGTGCGACAGAGACGGGCCGAATTTTGGCGAGCACTGTGGAGCCGCTAAACGAGCCAACGTCGCCACGCAAGACAGAGACACAGCGTCACTCCGGGCAATAAAGCAGCGAGATAAGGGCAGCATGTGAAACGGCGACGGACGGGCGGACAGAGACAGACAGACAGACAGACGGACAGACGGACGAAGGGCTCAATGACCCTTCCAATTCTCTTCCTCTCTCCTTTACGTCCATCTTCTGTCCGCCTCTCTCCCCCTTCCGCCGTTCGTTCCGTGTTTATCCATCCATCTAAATTTCCATTCATCGGCCACTTGGCTGACAGCCGTAATGCATTACTGCCCCGCACTGCCCCGCACCCCTTCCGTGAGTGATGTCCTTACATTCAAGATGATATCGAAAACACATCCCAGGGAAAATGGGACGGATGAAATTGGATGAGGAAGGGAACGACGAGGGAGTGAGGAAATGGCTGCGACGATATGCAGTGTCGCTGAAATCCAAACACCAGCGCGGAGAACAGGTAGTCAAAACAGCAAAAATCGGGGCAAAATCGCACCGAAGTATGTCAAAAACGCCCATTTTGAAGTCGTGTTGACATCGTTTGGACTTTTCTGTTCTCCCTGGTTCGAGATTTGGAGACCGGCAGAATGGGGGGAAGTGGAAACCTAGTGGAAACGGAACGAGGCAGAACGAGGGCGCGGCCGGTCGGCGTGGCCGCAGCGTGGCTGGGGGAAACGTCGGAGGGGAGGGGGAAGGGGAGGAATAATCAAATCACTCGATACGTCGTAATGATATCCCAGAATAATAGCCAATTGTGTAGGCAAGCAATCAAGAAGTCGGCAGAGTCGTTGGCCTAGGAGAGATTGCCTAAGCGAAAATGGCGGCCCGATGCGGTCGTATCCGGTCGTATCCACGACGACCATCCTCCTGTCCAAAGTGGCGCGACCGATTGGCCTGCATTTTGGCGGTCGGACGTGATTCGACCCAGTGTTTGGAGTGACCCATTGGCCCCGAGATAACCGCCTGAAAGGTAGGCAAAACTTTTGCTCCTCCCTCAGGTCGGTTCTGGTTCCGCCACTGGCGACTTACAGCTGGGCGGTGCACCTGAACACCGGTACTGCTGCCTGCTCGCCCTGCTGCAGAACACAAAGGCTTCCAACAACGACCAACAACCCCTCGCCGCAGTCCGCGACTCCGCGCCGCGTTTGCGTAAACACACATTCAAGTGAATAATTATTCATACAAACGCTTTCGTCGTTCTGTTTTCATTCCCAACATTTTTCCCCGCCGCTCCACTCCCGCCCTTTGCAAATACTAGCGGACGAGACGAGGAACACGGAGAGGGAGAGAGAGAGAGAGAGAGAGAGAGAGAGAGAGAGAGAGAGAGAGAGAGAGAGAGAGAGAGAGAGAGAGACAGACAGAGAGAGAGAGAGAGAGAGGGAGAAGGGAGAGAGAAGCTGATAGAGGGCGCGGGACGGATAGATAGAGAGTTGAAACCGAAAATATCCTTCAGCAAAGGGTAGGGAGCAAGCTAGGACGAGCTAGGAAGCACATGGCGGGGGCGTCCGGGACGCTGCGTCCCTTGGGTGTCGTGGAGGGCTTTGAGTCCAACACGCTATCTGGCGGGGATCGGGGCCACCGGGGCCACCAGGGCCACCAACACACCGACTCTCCGAATGGTCCCCGCAGTCGCCGTGCACGTCGTGTGCACGTCCCGGTGGATGCCATCATGCACACAGTGCAGTGCACACACGGGGCTTTGCACACTCCTTTGCACGCAGCCGGAATAAGTGCTTTGCAATAATCCGCTTGTGCGCCGCCGCGCCGCTACACCGTTCACGACTCGTTTTGTTTTCGTCCGGCCGACGGCGCGCAAAAAGGGCGGGAACCGCATGCCGTGCGAGCCATGCGGCGCGGGAAAACGCGGCAACGGAGCGGCGCGCCGCCGGGATTCGAACCCAAGCCGTCGGCCGTTCCTCGAGCTTCTCCGGCTTGACGTCGCACTGCGTCGCACGTCCAAACAATTCGGCGACATGAGGCCGTACGCTGTGTGCGCCCCGCGCTGTATAATAGAGGGAATCAATACTCCCCAATCTCCCCTTCAGAGGCCCTCTCGGCCCTCTCGGTGCCTCTGCCCTGCTCTGCCCTTTACCCTTCATCTCGCCTCTATTTTACTTCCCCACCCTCCGAGAAAGGTCGTCCCCACCACCCACACCATTTCACCAGTTTCATGCATGTTTATACTTCCTCCCCTCCCACAACCCCTCTCCATAAACTTTCAACCCCCTTTTCGTTCCGATTCCACCACATTGCCCAAACCCTCATGTGTGTGTATAAGTCTGTGTGCATAGCGCCGCGGCTGTGTGTTATCCAGACCGGAGCGATGGTTAACTCAACACATTTGAACGCACGACCCTCTACCGACGCAGTTCTACCAGTCGGGATCCTGGGACCGCCGCCGTCATCCTGGACCTCCTGTCCCCCCCCCCCCCCAATTTCGACCACCTGGACACCCCCTCCTCCAAAAGACTTCTGCGCAGCCCTTGCGCGCGCTTTTATGGCAATTTATTTATGTATTCCGCTCTTTGAATGGATCCTCTGTCTCTCCCACCGCACGTCTCAACCGTCTTATCCCCCCCCCCTCTTTCTTTCGCGGCCCCACCCCTTCGTTTGCTTTTATCTCTCACGTTACCCTCCTTATATATTTCCAAACAAAGAGTTCCACTCCTTTGCTCAAATTGAAAAACCGAGTTCGCGTCGTCGTGAGAGAGAGAAAGAGAGAGAGGGAGGCTAGCCCTCTTGATATGGAATTTTTAATGTCGAAGGCACACGGGTGGAATGGCCTGGAAATCGACAGATCGAATTCAAATTAAAGCGGGGTACAAACGGGAAATCCTTTATTGGCTTTCGAGGAATAATTCAGGCCCCGCGCGATATGTAAGATTTCCCCCCCCCTCTCGATCTGCCAGTCAGGCTTGATATCGCAAGGCCTGCGAACTTTGATTGCGAACAAGCAATTCTTGTACGAACTTCAATTATCTCCCCGGAGACAGGAAATCTTACAAGGTCGTCGGCGACGCGAACACCACCCCGGCACCTCAGCCTCGTCTGCGTCGTCGATTTCGTCGCTCCGTCTCTCTCGCACCGATACGGGACGCCCTATGAGTGCGAGAGAGACGGAGAGATGAAAACGACTTCTGCTGCGGCAGGCGGGCACTCCTTGCGGAAGCCACCCTCAACCGGGGACACCCCCTCTTTGCCAAGACAGAGAGGAATCGAGAGAGAGAGAAGAATGGTTTCGCCTTCGGCTTTGGCCGCGTTTCTTACAGTGCTCCTCCCTTGTCCTGGCGGTGTCCTGGCAGTGTCCTGACCCACCCCTCGCGGCTCCGCGTGCTTTGCTGCGTTGCGCGGCGGGGCGGTCCGGGGCTGTCCGGGGCGGTCAACGGCCTTTCAAAGCACTTT